CTGTGGAGTGTACGGCATGAAGTGGTCCTATGGACAGATACTCCAATCTCCGTTGTGGAGCTTTGCAGCTCCTTCAGGGTTATCTTTGATCTCTTTGTTGCCTCTCTGATTAATGCCCTCCTTGCCTGGTCCGTGAGTTTTGGTGGGCGGCACTTTCTTGGCAGGTTTGTTTGTGGTGCCATATTCTTTCCATTTTTTATAAAGGATTTAATGGTGCTCCGTGGGTTGTTCAAAGTTTCTGATATTTTTTTATAACCCAACCCTGATCTGTACTTCTCCACAACTTTGTCCCTGACCTGCTTGGAGAGCTCCTTGTTCTTCATGGTGCCGCTTGCTTGGTGGTGCCCCTTGCTTAGTGGTGTTGCAGACTCCGGGGCCTTTCAGAACAATTGTATAGCTACTGAGATCATGTGACAGATCATGTGACACTTAGATTGCACACAGGTGGACTTTATTTAACTAATTATGTGACTTCTGAAGGTAATTGGTTGCACCAGATATTATTTAGGGGCTTCATAGCAATGGGGGTGAATACATATGCACACACCACTTTTCCGTTATTTATTTTTTCGAATTTTTTGAAACAAGTAATTTGTTTCATTTCACTTCACCAATTTGGACTATTTTGTGTATGTCCATTACTTGAAATCCAAATAAAAATCTGTTTAAATTACAGGTTGTAATGCAACAAAATAGGAAAAACGCCAAGGGGGATGAATACTTTTGCAAGGCACTGTAGGGAATAGGATGCCATTTGGAAAGAAGCCTTGCAGTTGGTTATAATGCAGACCTACAGATGTTCGAAGGGGACGATTGATTAAAAAGGTTTGGGTTTGGAACAAAATATAGGGAAAGAGAGGAGAAACCAGAAGCCTGCTGCCAGATAACACAGTCAAGAACCCAGCAGATTTTACCAGGCTTGATTAACAAGATGCGATTAGAATGAAACAGATTCCTCAGCTATGACCTCACGGGGGTGGCCGTAGAGCCAACGGAACTATGGAAGCCACAGTACTAATCTTTTGTATGGGATCACCGACATGAGCAACGGTGCTCTGTAACGTTACTCCTGGGATGTGTCCCAAATGGAATCCTATTCCCTATTTAGTGCACTACTTTTCTGATGTGCCGGTTGCTCTGGTAGCGATGTCCCGGGATAAACCCCTTTCTGTGGAGCCTCAGACGGAGCGTGGAGGGAAGCCAGTAGCACCTCCTTCCGCCTACCACCACTTCCCCACTCATCTTTAAAGATACTTTAAGACTGGGTCACACTTCAAGCACTGCACAACTCTGTACAATCTCTGTGCTCCACTTTTGACGAGAAGCTCTTTAACTGGAAGCCAATGCAACTGTATAATTATTGAATCACTTCAGGGACACAAGTGTTGACAGTGCGTTGAACCCTAACTCTGTCTTGATGGCAATAGATATGAAGACTTGCCATATTTTCTGAAAATGACAATTTATCCCAATGTTGCTGAAGTTATTTCAGGAATCTCTTACAAGCAGACCCATTACTTGAGTTAAGTATTTATGTAATTGAGTTTGTGTGTAAAAAGAAATATTATACAGCCTATGTTGCATTCCAGTCACAGCTGTTAGTTCCTGTTTGATTTCAGCCTCGATATCATCAAAACTCAGTGTTTTCAATAGGAAGCATCTGATATGAAAAACATCATCATAAAATGCGTCCCCAATGGAAACCTATTATTCCCTTTATAGTGAACTACTTTTGACCATGACCCATAGGACTCTGGGCTTGCGAAAGTATTCACCCCCCTTGGCATTTTTTCCTATTTTGTTGCCTTACAACCTTGAATTCAAATAGATTTTTGGGGGGTTTGTATCATTTGATTTACACAACATGCCTACCACTTTGAAGATGCAAAATATTTTTTATCGTGAAACAAACAAGAAATAAGACATAAAAACAGAAAACTTGAGCACGCATAACTATTCCCCCCCCCCCCCCAATACTTTGTAGAGCCACCTTTTGCAGCAATTATAGCTGTAAGTCTCTTGGGGTATGTCTCTACAAGCTTGGCACTTCTAGCCACTGGGATATTTGTCCATTCTTCAAGGTAAAACTGCTCCAGCTCCTTCAAGTTGGGTGGGTTCCGCTGGTGTACAGCAATCTTCAAGTCATACCACAGATTCTCAATTGGATTGAGGTCTGGGCTTTGACTAGGCCATTCCAAGACATTTAAATGTTTCCCCATAAACCACTCGAGTGTTGCTTTAGCAGTATGTTTAGGGTCATTGTCCTGCTGGAAGGTGAACCTCCGTCCCAGTCTCAAATCTCTGGAAGACTGAAACAGGTTTCCCTCAAGAATTTCCCTGTATTTAGCGCCATCCATCATTCCTTCAATTCTGACCAGTTTCCCAGTCCCTGCCGATGAAAAACATCCCCACAGCATGATGCTGCCACCACCATGCTTCACTGTGGGGATGGTGTTCTCGGAGTGATGAGAGTTGTTGAGTTTGCGCCAGACATAGCATTTTCCTTGATGGAAAAAAAGCTCAATTTTAGTCTCATCTGACCAGAGTACCTTCTTCCATATGTTTGGGTAGTCTCCCACATGGCTTTTGGCGAACACCAAACGTGTTTGCTTATTTCTTTCTTTAAGCAATGGCTTTTTTCTGGCCACTCTTCCGTAAAGCCCAGCTCTGTGGAGTGTACGGCATGAAGTGGTCCTATGGACAGATACTCCAATCTCCGTTGTGGAGCTTTGCAGCTCCTTCAGGGTTATCTTTGATCTCTTTGTTGCCTCTCTGATTAATGCCCTCCTTGCCTGGTCCGTGAGTTTTGGTGGGCGGCACTTTCTTGGCAGGTTTGTTTGTGGTGCCATATTCTTTCCATTTTTTATAAAGGATTTAATGGTGCTCCGTGGGTTGTTCAAAGTTTCTGATATTTTTTTATAACCCAACCCTGATCTGTACTTCTCCACAACTTTGTCCCTGACCTGCTTGGAGAGCTCCTTGTTCTTCATGGTGCCGCTTGCTTGGTGGTGCCCCTTGCTTAGTGGTGTTGCAGACTCCGGGGCCTTTCAGAACAATTGTATAGCTACTGAGATCATGTGACAGATCATGTGACACTTAGATTGCACACAGGTGGACTTTATTTAACTAATTATGTGACTTCTGAAGGTAATTGGTTGCACCAGATATTATTTAGGGGCTTCATAGCAATGGGGGTGAATACATATGCACACACCACTTTTCCGTTATTTATTTTTTCGAATTTTTTGAAACAAGTAATTTGTTTCATTTCACTTCACCAATTTGGACTATTTTGTGTATGTCCATTACTTGAAATCCAAATAAAAATCTGTTTAAATTACAGTGTTGTAATGCAACAAAATAGGAAAAACGCCAAGGGGGATGAATACTTTTGCAAGGCACTGTAGGGAATAGGATGCCATTTGGAAAGAAGCCTTGCAGTTGGTTATAATGCAGACCTACAGATGTTCGAAGGGGACGATTGATTAAAAAGGTTTGGGTTTGGAACAAAATATAGGGAAAGAGAGGAGAAACCAGAAGCCTGCTGCCAGATAACACAGTCAAGAACCCAGCAGATTTTACCAGGCTTGATTAACAAGATGCGATTAGAATGAAACAGATTCCTCAGCTATGACCTCACGGGGGTGGCCGTAGAGCCAACGGAACTATGGAAGCCACAGTACTAATCTTTTATATGGGATCACCGACATGAGCAACGGTGCTCTGTAACGTTACTCCTGGGATGTGTCCCAAATGGAATCCTATTTCCTATTTAGTGCACTACTTTTCTGACGTGCCGGTTGCTCTGGTAACGATGTCCCGGGATAAACCCCTTTCTGTGGAGCCTCAGACGGAGCGTGGAAGGAAGCCAGTAGCACCTCCTTCCGCCTACCACCACTTCCCCACTAATTTTTAAAGATACTTTAAGATTGGGTCACACTTAAAGCACTGCACAACTCTGTACAATCTCTGTGCTCCACTTTTGATGAGAAGCTCTTTAACTGGAAGCCAATGCAACTGTATAATTATTGAATCACTTCAGGGACACAAGTGTTGACAGTGTTCTGAACCCTAACTCTGTCTTGATGCAATAGATATGAAGACTTGCCATATTTTCTGAAAACTGCAATTTATCCCAATGTTGTTGAAGTTATTTCAGGAATCTCTTACAAGCAGACCCATTACTTGAGTTAAGTATTTATGTAATTGAGTTTGTGTGTAAAAAGTAATATTATACAGCCTATGTTGCATTCCAGTCACAGCTGTTAGTTCCTGTTTGATTTCAGCCTCGATATCATCAAAACTCAGTGTTTTCAATAGGAAGCATCTGATATGAAAAACATCATCATAAAATGCGTCCCCAATGGCACCCTATTATTCTCTTTATAGTGCACTACTTTTGACCATGACCCATAGAACTCTGGTCAAAAGTAGTGTACTATATAGGGAATAGAGAGCGATTTGGGATGCATCCATAATGTATTATAATCACCAGACACATCTGGACTCTCAGCTCAATTTCCGGCAACAACTGAATAGGGCAAGCGGTGGGTGTACTGTATCTGGGTGTGTCTTAGTCATGGGCAGCAGTGGATGTTCAAACAAGTTTGTTTGAGCTTCTAATGAAATGTAATGAAGTGAAGTGTTGCTTGAGGGAGATTTCCTAGACTGTTTGTGATTTATGTTTATGACCTAACTGTGTCTATCTGGGGAAAAGTGCGTTAGCTAATACGTGTTCTCTCATGTTAAATGGGTTACTTCCGTATTTCCACATTATCCTATAGTATAGCCATTAAGTTTTGATAATCTCTCCTTCTCTCGCAGCTGCTTAACGGAAGGGCAGAATGAAAGCGGATTTATGGTTTGACTCTCGTTCTCGCTCCCTCACTCTCTCTCTGTCTCTGTCTCTCCAACCCTACTGCTCTCCCTCTCGTTCTCTATTAGTAGCTGAAGTGCAAAGTGAGATAGAGCGTATCTTTGAGCTGGCCCGGACCTTGCAGCTGGTGGTTCTGGACGCAGACACCATCAACCACCCGGCCCAACTGGGAAAGACCTCCCTGGCCCCTATCATCGTCTACGTCAAGATCTCCTCTCCTAAGGTGAGACCAAGCAAGGCAAACAAGTGGTAACTTATATCTAGTCTGGTTCCCTTTCAGTCAGTCAACTTCGGTACACGGGAGGCTACTCGAAGAGAGAGGGCAGCCAGGTTCGGTGGTATCCCCCGCCGCCTGTGTCTGCCTCGGTCAAGCACTGGCTTCCTCTCTTCCCAGACTTCTTAATGAAGGGTCCGGTCCCACCTCAGTGATCCAGTTCTACGTGGACTTTCAAGACCGGGCTAGCTAAATGAGCGTTGCATAGCATGCTAAGCAGGTTGGCTAACTTGCCGAGGCGAGCCAGCTATAATAGCTATTACTGACTCCCTACTGTGGTGTTGCTGGGGTAGCTCTCTTGTTTAGTATACAGTGGGGAGAACAAGTATTTGATACACTGCCGATTTTGCAGGTTTTCCTACTTACAAAGCATGTAGAGGTCTGTAATTTTTATCATAGGTACACTTCAACTGTGAGAGACGGAATCTAAAACAAAAATCCAGAAAATCACATTGTATGATTTTTAAGTAATTAATTAGCATTTTATTGCATGACATAACCTTTAGGAAAACCTTGCCACATAAACACACAGCCAAGTTCCACAGTTTGGACTGGTGTTAAAAGTGTTGCCTCCCGAATGTGAGTTCAATGAAAAGTGTTCCTTCTCCATGTTCAGACACACGGTTGTCAGGAGTGGTGGAAATAGAAGAAGAACCAATCTCTCACAGTCCACAAGGTGGTGTCCCGCCCCTTCAGATGGCACTTCACGGGAGTCTCGTTGTCTGCTCCGACCAATGGTGCGCATGTGCAGTGTCACCCTGGATCATGCTAACAGTGACTTTAAGATACAGGCTACAATTTGTTGTGCATTCCCCACGCTTCTGCAGCATCATCACATCGACTGTTCCAAAGGCCTCAGTGCCCTTTTCGAGGGAGAAAATATCCTCCCGTCTCCAGAAGCAGGCAATCTGAGTGGTTCCTATGTCGAAGATCCGGGACTGCTAGTATAGCTGGTATTCCTGGTTACGAAAACGGACGGGACTTTGCATCCTATTCTAGAACTACGTGCCCTCAGCAAGCACCTCAGAGTCTACAAACTAAGAATGCTCACGAGCCGATGGCTATTACATCGATTGGCTGGTGGCAGAGTATGTGAGCGGAGTTGAGTGGTCGGAAATCCCACTTGCGCACCACTCAGGCGCTCCACGTCTTTTCCAACCGCTCCGCTAATAACTGCTCCTCGCAGGGAAAACAACTGCCGCTCCAAATTCGCTCCATTCATTAAAATCACCATTTAACCAACACCCATCTATTTTTGTGACCACCTGGACCTACCATTTGGTTTTGATGTATTGAAATATGATTTGAATGAAAAGTATTTTCATAAAAACATGAAAAGGTGACTGTAAGAAGCACTCATCATTTGAAATAGGCTACATTAAATTACATTACATTGAAAGGCATATAAACACTCTAAATTGGTCAGGAGCCAGATAGGTAGCCTAAGAAGAAACTAAAATGTATTATTTAGGCTATATTATAAGCCTATTATTTCAATTATTTCAAGGTTATAGCCTACAAAGAAATACATTGTGAAGCATTTGCGAGTGCAACACACTAGGTTGGCAGGGACATTAAGCGCTCATCATTTAAACAACATTTTGTTGCATTAAATCATTATAGTCAATAAATTGCGCATATAGGCTGTGACTTAAATACAAATGAAACAAAAATACCTTATTAGGCTCAGTCTACGGTGCCTTTGAATTCATTTTTACAAACACGAGTTTGGCCAGAATCTGGCATCAGGCTCATGCGAGGGTGCCTGGAGAGCAGGCCAGCAGCAGAGAATACCCTCTCCGCGCTTGCAGAGCCACTGGGAATGCTAAACACCTTTCAGGCCACTCTTGCCAGGCTGGGCAGGGATGCAGAGTTGTTTTTAAAAATGTTTATAGGTAGGCCTAAAGGTTTTTAGGCAAAATAACCCTATCAAAACGTAAAGCTCCTTGAAAGAGGTAATATGTCAGGCCTATTGGGCCAAAATAAATTATAGCCTATTGTATAGATAATATAACATCACCACACTCCCTCTCTTGCTCTTGGTCCTCCTCATCTTTGTAAGACACCTTGATTTTGCACCTGAGTGTTTTATCATTTTCTTTATGAAAACATTTAGCGAACTCCATGACAGTAGCTAAAGCAAGGGGCTATAGAAGCACACAAATAGCCTACAAATGCATGCTGGGCCGGGCATGCCCTGAGCTCGTGAAGTGAGCGGTACTGGAGTGAAATTGGAGCGGGGTGAGAAGGGTGACGCTCCAGCCTTTGGGAAACTTGCTTCACGCTCCAGTCAAATTGAGCATGCGCCACTCCAGCGTCGCTCACATACTCTGGCTGGTGGCGGCGGAGTCAAGGGGGCAAGCAGTGTTACACACATCCAGCGCATTCCGTTTCTAGGTCTCAAGCTACTCACTCGCGTATCACACTTTTCTATTAACACGGAGGGTGTCCGGGTTCCGGCTCTGCTTAGCCAAGTTTCGTCTGGGTCACACAGTGCGTTTTCACCAGTCCTTATGCTTACTGGGGATGATGGCTTCTGTGATGGAAGTCGTTCCCGTGGGGTTATTGTTAATACGGACCTTTCAGCGCTGAGTGCTAGCTACTCACCTGGACGCATTTCTCAGCCTAAGCCGGTCGCTTCGGGTATCCCTGTCAAGCCTACGGGCCATGGCCCAGTGGTGGGACCCTCTGCTATTGTCAGGGGGCACCCATGGGCTGAGTTGTATCCCGCAAGGTGATCATGACAAACGCATCCCCCGAGGGTGGGGTGCGCTGTACGAAGGCAACTCGATTTGGGGGTTATGGATACTGGTTGCAGAGCGCACTGCATGTCGATTACCTGGAGTATCTGGCGCTCAGGCGCTTTCCCCTGTTCTTGTCAGGCTGGCTTGTGCTGGTCAGAACCGACAATATGTCAGTGGTGGCATGCATCAACAGATTGGGAGAGACCGTCTCTCTCCCTCCTAACCTTCGCTCGATCCCTATTGCTGGGGAGCAGTGTGCACATGCTTTCGCTTTAGGCGACGCATGTCCCCGGTTGCCTCAACTCAACTCAGGTGCAGATCTTTTATCCAGGTGGGACCCTCTCTCTCAGGAGTAGATGCTCTCCCAGGTATGGGACATTTTTGGCAGGGCCGACGTAGATCTTTACGCATTTACGCACGTAGGTCTTTACGCATATATCTTTACGACGTAGATCTTTACGCAGTGTCATCTATTTTTCTCAATGAGGGACCCAAGTGCCCCGTTGGGAACAGACGCACCAGTGGCCTTGGACCCTCCTTTACGCATTTCCGCCAGAGGCTCTTATTCAGCCCACGGTGGAGTGGGTGTGCCGGGACGGCTTACCATTGATTCTTGTGGCTCCCCAGGCAGCCTTCGTTCGCGGAGATCATTCACCTTTTAGGCGGAGACCCGTGGAAACTCCCGTTAGGCATGGACCTGTTGTCCCAGGTGCACAGGCAGGTTTGGCAAGCGAGGCCCCTGGTGGTTCCTGAAAGGTGTAATTTGTCTCAGAACCTATTCCACCCACATGGGACTTGGCGCTGGCTTTAGAGGCACTGTGTGCAGCCCCCTCTGGAGTCGGTGGATCTGAAGATCCTCTCCTACAAATCCTCCCTGCTCGTGGCTTTGGCCTAGGCTAAAAGTGTTGGGGACCTCCACGCGTTATCCCTACAACCTTCCTGTACTCAGTTGGCCCCGGGCGTCCAAATGCGGCCTTCGCCCCAAAAGTCATGGCTATGTCCTACAGGTCCTTAGCTTTTGCGCTATTGGCCTTTTCACCTCCCCCTTTTGCTTCTGAAGAGCAACAGAGGTTACATGTCCTATGTCCGGTGCGAGCTTTACGCACGTACATTAAACGGACCCGGGATATCCGGTTATGTGACCAACCTTTTGTCTGTTTTGCTAATCCAGCTGGCAGCATCTTGGGCGTTGTTTAAAGGGTTGACTATAGGAAATATTTGTGCTGCGGCGAGTTGGGCATCACAACACACTTTTGTGAGGTTTTATAGCTTGGATGTCACTGCTCCCAGTATAGCACACAGCGTGCTTACGCTTGGGACAGGGGAAAGTCACTAGACAGCGCGCCGTGTTCGCAATGCCCAGACTGCCACATCTGGCGGGGTTAGGTTGGGGTGGTCTTCCATGGGCTGTTTCATTTAGTATCCGTTGGGGCGTGATTATATTTCCCAATAGTATGTTGTACCAAAGATGACTGACTGAAAGGGAACGTAACGCTACGATTACAACTACTGTTCCTTGAAGGAGGGAAATTAGGTACAACACCTGTTTGGCTCCGCATCGCCCGCTCCTGGGCTCAGTGAAGAGCAGTATTAAATTGAAGGAATGAATTCAACCCTCACGCTTATCACCTGTGGAAGGTGGGGCTTCCAGTGAGGCGTGGATTTCATTGGCCTTGTCAGGCGTGACTTCATCCGAAGTTGCGAGAGTGCTACTCCCCATACATAGTATGTTGTACCTCGTTTCCCTCCTTCAGGGAACAGTAGTTATAGTCATAACATTATGTTCATTCACAATCCACAATTTCCATTCTACGAATACATGTGGTAGTTTACATGACAGGGTACTAGGGCAGTTTGTATTACATGGTTATTATTCCAATGCTAACCTTTATTTTCTAGTCATGTATTCAACCAACCTTCCATCTCACACACAGTAATAATGTACAGAAGTTTATTATTATTATTATTATTTACTAAGTTGTTCAAACAAGATCATTCCAAGTCTAAGTGATTTATATAATATGTGTAAGTGTGTAAAGGTAGATGCAGGCCAGTAGAGACTGGTCCCCTCCAGACAGTATGAAAGAAGTGAGTGTCAGATTGATGAAGTAAACAGAGCTGAAGTGAAAGTCTCGTCCTGAGACTCTGTGAGAAGTAGTGAAGTAGTCTCCTACTGGTTTATAGATGTCTATGGATGTCCCTGGTGCATTGGGGAGCCAATGGATGTGTCTTGTCACTGCTCATATCGCCTTTTTCTAACTGAATGGCGTCCTGCTCTGGTTTTTAAATATGGCCTTTTTTAAAGCTCCGACTACTCAGCTCGTCTAAATGGGAGAGAGTCAGGTGTGTGAGGAGACTGATTCATCACGATGACCTTCAGTTGTCTGTAAATAACACTCATGATTCAAAGATCAATACAAACGCTGCCATTTGAGTAACATAAAAAGGGAAAGAAGGCATAGCTGAAGATCTGTGAAATACGGCCGCTAAATCAAAGTGTTGTCAGTCTAAATCCCATCTCGATGAGATAAACCAAGCCTATCTGACACCTCTCGTCTCCTCTTTTCATCAACTACTGCTGCTGTGAATCAGTAGGATCACAGTTCTACTGTGGTACTGATGTTAGATTGAAGTTTCCACGTTGCTGCTACATTGGAGTTGACTTCGTTACAGTGCTGACGATGCTGTGATGTGATGGAGTTGACTTTGTTAGGGTGTTGGCGATGCTTGCATGTGATGGAGTTGACTTTGTTACGGTATTGACGATGCTTTCATGTGATGGAGTTGACTTCGTTACGGTGTTTATATGCTTTCATATGATGGAGTTGACTTTGTTATGGTGCTGATGGTGTCATGACTCTCATGCCTCTCTCTCATATTTCCCAAAGGTTCTGCAGAGGCTCATCAAGTCCAGAGGGAAGTCCCAGGCCAAGCACCTCAACGTCCAGATGGTTGCTGCAGACAAACTGGCCCAGTGCCCTCCCGTGAGTATAGCCACACCACTGGCCAGAGGTCTCTGCTACCTGGATCACACCCACCACATGCCACAGCTATTACAATCGGGACATTTCATGATACTGTTTCTGTATGCAGATTGAAGATTTGGGTCTCTGTGCATCAAGGCTCTATTGATACCGTAAAGGAGACTATCAAGGGCTGAATCCTAACTTGATAAACTCACTCTGAAGTCTTATGTAAATCATGCATTGATGTTGATAGGAGATTTGCATGGTTTTGAGTTGTGTGCGTATATCACCCATCAGGATTCTGCTGTTATATTAATACTACTGTTGTGGAATGCTTCAGAAAGACTCATATCTCCTGCCAATTCTATTTCAGTCCTTCTGTGATCTTCTCTGATTTTCTTTTAGAATATGAGCCCAAACATTGCAGGATGAAGAAAAATCTGCCCTAATTTAAATCCAATAGCATCGCATCCCTGGTGGTATTTAGCTTTTAAGAGTCTCTCTGATCTGAATATTCTTACCGAATTAATATTTAATGCTATTAAATTGGTTATTATGTCTCTGACACAGTTTTAGTCTGACACTTTCTTAATCCGAGAAGCATGTCAGTTTCTTGTAAAAAAGTATCTGCATAAGTCATTTGGAATCTAGAAAATAAAGTATCTAAGAAAAAGTAGATCCACTCTTATAAAGTTGTTATCTATCCTAGTATCATTGGCCCATACTAAGCTCATACCCGTACTGTTTTGGGCCCATAAAAACACTAACAATACTATTTTCCCCTCCTCTCTCCCTCTGTTTATATCTCTCTCCATCTCCCTCTCTCAGGAGATGTTTGACATCATCCTGGATGAAAACCAACTGGAGGATGCGTGTGAGCACATGGCTGATTACCTGGAGGCCTACTGGAAGAGCACCCACCCCGCCAGCTGCAACCCCCCCAACCCGCTGCTGGCCAAGGTGGCTACGGCCGCCCTGCCCTCCAGCCCCGCTCCTGTCTCCAGCATGCAGGTACAGGTGCTAACCAGGCTCCGGGCCAATGTGGGCGGCCTGCTCCTGAGCCCAGACAGTCAGGAGGACAGGGAGGGCAGGGAGACAAGTAGCTCACTGGCCATGAGCAGTCTGTATCACCACAGAGTCAGCGCAATGGCACACTGACCACGACAGAGAGAGAGAGAGATGCAGGACAGAGAGAGAGATGCAGGACAGAGAGAGAGAGATGCAGGACAGAGAGAGAGAGATGCAGGACAGAGAGAGAGAGATGCAGGACAGAGAGAGAGAGAGATGCAGGACCGAGATATACAGTGAGAAGGAAAAGGAAAGAGAGAGGGAGAAGGGAGGGAGTGAGGATGCAATGAGATAGAGAGAAAGTAATAGGAAGAGGCATAGAGAGACAAGGGGTGGCATGACTGATGGTGGGCCTGCTAACCATGACTAAACAAGATCATTAAGCCTTGAAAGTACACCGACAAATCTGGAGCTTGTGTTTTGAATTGGTTTAACACAGCTGGTTGCTATCCTTTGAAATAATGAATACTTACAGGCAAAGGAATTTTGTCAGTTTGAGAATAATTATCTATTTGAAGTGTCTGTATTTAACGGCAGCGAACAATTAGTTTGGGTCATTTGATTGATTCAGATCAGTTTCATGTGTATTTAAAATGTCCACGTATTTTCTCCATCCCCATGCATTGCTCCACATTGGCCAATGTAAGACTGAAACTCCTAACAATGAAAGTCCTTTTTAAAACTCCTGAAAATGCTGATGAAAATGCATCTGATGAGTGAGGTTAACATGTCTGAGATTGTGGTGAGTGGGAGGGACTCAGTCAAAAGAGCTGTGTGGACTTCAAGTGTTAGTTTTCCATGGGGATTCAGCCTTGGTCCTGGAGACATGGGATGCATCCCACATGGCACCCTATTCCCTATATAGTGCATACTTTTGACCAGGGTCCATAGGGCTCTGGTTAAAAGTAGTGCACCATGTAGGGAATAGGGTGCCATTTGAGATGCACATTTAAAATTAACCAGTGTAAATCAATCAAGTTCAAACTAATATGATTACTTTTTGGGATACTTTTAGTATTCTCCAGGACCACAGTCAACCTTCAATGGTTGATAACTTCATTTCAACCTTTGAGTGTGCAGTGCAGTGCACGTGTGTATTTGAAGTGTGAGTTCGAATTTCATGCATGTGGGTTTGCATGTGTGTGGATTTGACATACTGTATGGAGGTGGTTGGAGTGTGTGTTTGATTTGCATTTGTTTGAGGGCGTGTGTTTGTCTTTGATTTGATTTGTATATGGATACAATGCATTCAAAATCATAGAGGATAACACAAAAAAGTGTTTTACTCTGCATAGGTGTGTTGGTGTATCTAACTGTACTAACGGCCATGTTGTGTGTTGTGTTGCTAACCCCAGGGCAGCGGGACAGAGCAGAAAGAAGGGGACAAGGCAGGACAAGGTGTGGAGAGGAAGGGCTCCAGAGAGGACCATCACCATCACCACCACCACAGCCAGCATCAGAGTCAGGAGCAGCCAGACGGGGAGCTGGATGAGGGGGAGGAGGAGGAGGGGGAGGAGGAGGAGAGGCCCCTGAGGACAGAGTCTTCCAGGAGACCCCAGCACATCCACCACCGCTCCTCCTCTCAGCGGACTGAGCAGCACCACAACAACCACCATCATCATCATCATACTGGTGCCGGTGGTGGCCGGGGCAAGGGCCTCTCTCGGGGGGAGACACAGGACTCAGAGACCCCCGAGAGTCGGGAGAGCAGAGAAAGCAGAGACTCAGCCTACATAGAGCCTCGCACTCACCTCCTGCACCAGGAGGACGAGGAAGAGGAAGAAGAGTTTGGAGAGGAGGAGTATGAGGAGGAGGGGCTGGGAGATGGGGGGCACCCTCAGCAGGGGCGCTACGAGGCTCAGCCTCACCCAAGGGACCACAACCACCATCACCACCACCACCATCACCGCGGTGGCACTGGCGAGGAGGCGGACCATGGTACAACAGGACACCACCGCTCCAAGGAGCGCAACGAGCAGGACCACAACGAGCGCAACAAGCCGCGCGGTCACCAGCACCACCAACGACCGGCCCGCGACCACCACCACCACCAGTACTATGACAGAGACAGGGACAGGGACAGGGAGGGGGAGGTGGCCCCCAAAAAGAGGGGCGACACAGGGGACTGGGCCAGAGACCCCTATATTCACCAGTGACAGCCCAGACCCTAGACCACAAACCCCCTCACACACTGAGACAGTGGTACTGTAGGACTCACCCCCCTCTTTCCCAAACCATTCTGTTGTCCCATCTTGCTGCTACACCCTTAAGCCCCTGCATCCTCCGTTTATGTACGCTTCCTTTGTAAAGCCTGTTGCATCCTTAGCAACGGCAGTATTTTTATTATATATAGATATAGGTATATAAATATATAAATATGTGTATCAATACATAGACATTGTCGTTTATGTGTGGATATGCATGGATCTTCTCAAATATGCATATTTTAAACCTGTGTTTGATAAAGCATGACACAACAGCAGAATTCTCTTCTGTACTGTGCTTTCTGTGACTAGAGTTTTTAAATTGTATTTCTATATTGTTTTGTTTTTTTTCTTACTGCCACTTGAACAATAATTTGTTCATTCAGACTACTGTTAGCGGTGACTGACTGAGAAGTGGGAAACCAGGTAAGGTTAAATGCTAAATATGTGCAATTGTTTTATTTTATTTTAATTAAAATGTTGCTGTTTTCTTCGTTGCTTTTTTTTTTTTTTCATTGTTAATGTTCAGTGTTTGGTCCTCTGACGTTGGTTCCTCTGGTGTTGATGCTGCCTTTCCATTGGGGCACACCTTAGTCTTGCCTTACAAGACAAAAGAATAGTGACACGACTTACTGTCTTACATTACAGTACTGTTGTTCTATTTATAAAGGGTTCAGAAACATTTTATAACATTGATACACACTCTGTTCAGCACTTTTAGTAGAACATACTGTAGACTGATTCATATTGTTGGTGTCAGGTGTACAACGATTTGATATTTTAGGGTACAGTTATCGGGTCAAACCAATCCACTCACACACTAGGGGACTTTTATCTATGATGGTATGTCTTTTTAAGTTGGACCCTTTTCTAAGGACAGTTTCATGCACTTAGTACAGTCCAATTAGCTATGAATGTTCATGAGGTACCGACATTTTTTTTTCCTTGAATATTGTGAGAAATGTGCCAATTGTCCACTTTTTATTTTTATGTCTAATTGAAAATCAATCACAACCACTGAATGAAATCAACTGGATGATAAAGGTAAGCCTTTCTGCTCAGCTACGGTGCTCAAGAAAAGTTGTACGCCCCAAGTTATAACCGGAGCCATATATTTTGAAATGTTTTCTCTCTAAAATATATATTTTTAAATATATGGTTATAACCTAGCACAGTTGAGGTTAGGGCCAACTCCTAACTTAGTTCAGGCTGCCCTCTGTAAGGTAAGGGAGTTTAGGGGAATGTGCCCCAAATGGCACCCTATTCCCTATATGGTGCACTACTTTTGACCAGGGTGCACTATGTAGGAAATAACGTGCCATTTGGGATGCACCCTAGGGTATTCTGTCCCTCTGTTTACATTGCCACCAACCAACCAGTACATTACCACCAACCAACCAGTCCCCTAGAACAATTCTCCGTTTTATATTTTAGCCTAAAATATTATGATAAGGTACAATCCATTTATATGCTACTGTAGTAACACTACACATTTTTAAGAGTGTACATTTGTATGTACATATGTATAAATACAAAATATAAACTTCGCAACAAAGGATTTATGTAGAGGACAAGAAAATCAACTGGTCTTAGATTTATTTGTAATACGTTTCATGAAATGCTGTTACTTACATACCTGTGGTGTCTGTCTGTACTTTGTGTGTCGGCACTGTGCGTGTACGTGCATGTGTGCGTGCCTGTCTGTGTCTAAAAGGAATTGCTTCCTCTGAGAATGACATTCATAGCATACGTTAGTACTCTGACCAGGAATAGCCCGCCAGGACATGGGAGAGATGAGAAGAGACAGAAGTGAAGAAGATGGTCTGATCTAAGAATAGAGTCCTCTGAAACCACCCTGAAACTCCCAGGTGGAACCAGCTGCCTCAGAGTCGTCATGACGCCATGAACGTCAACAGCAGAGAGAGAGAGGAGAGAGAGAGAGAGAGAGAGAGAGAAGAGACTGAGAGCGAGAGAGTGGACAGTTTGAAATAAGGCAGGGTTTTACTTCCCACTGTCTCTCCAGAAATGGACTGGCCATAGGGCAGTTAGGGCGAATGCCAGATGGACTGGTCCATATTTAGCCCAGTGGGCCGGTCTAAATTGGGGGTTTTGCACAGAATTATCATTATTTTGCTAATAATGGGGTCCTCAAGGAAAAAACATAGCCCGTGTGTTAGAAATGCCTAGGCCGATTACTGCTCCCAGTCAGTCAACCTGTCACTCTTAAAGCTGCTTCTCTTTTAGAATCGAAGTCTTTATGTTAATCTGACAGTACTGTTCAAAAAAACCCAATTTATGCTGTCCCTAGTCATTTAAACCAGTGTGGGCCTGCCTGTCAGTGAGTGCATACCTTTTCAACAAAAAACCGTTGCACGATCGCTTATGCTGTCCCTGGGTCAGATTTAAACCACAGATAGTGGGCCCTTAGTGGCCTGTCAGTGGAGGAGCAATTTTCTCCCACCGTTCTGTCCTGGATAATCGGGTTGATGGACTGATGCTATTCCTCCTCCCAGGAAGCCAGGAAAAGAGAGGTGAGCTGAGGTCATTGTGAAGGTCTGAGTTCTGACTCCAGCATGGGAAGATACTAGTATGGGAGATGGGAGAGGGAGTGTGGCCTGTAAATTGAAGCCCATGTAGGATGTACACTCGTAGATTTATGACGTTGACCTTCACCCGCATTGACCTTCATCCATTTGATAAAATTGACTTTATAAATAAATGTGACTGTTCTTATCTTTGATTCACGTTTTGATATGGCAAGCAATATGGGGATGTATATACACAAAAATATTTAATGAGATATTTGTAAAGAAGAAATATGCAAATATATATATATATTTAGTTTATTTTCCATTTATTTGAGAGAAAAGGGGATAAGTAAAGTAACAAAAACATCTGTTTGAATGTAGAGACCATAAACTGAGGGATAGCTGTGTGATACCTACCATCTTGTTCCTGTAAAAATAACCATACCGGTTCCTTGTTTTTGAAACACTAACTAAAAAGGCAGTAAATTGTTAATATCTCGTGACCCCTTTCAGCACGCTACTTCCTGATCTACGCTCCCAGAGCCAGCAAATCCGCTGTCAGCTGTGTCGTCACTGTTGTCATGGCGATGGGGCAAATGGCAGCAGAACTGCATTCGCCGATACTAACCCACTCTCTGCATTTTCTCCCTTACTCGCCCTTAAATGTTTTTCTCTTGCTCAATCCCTCCCTCCTCTCCTCCCCTCTCTGTTTATACAACTCATCCCTATATGGCCCAGTGTTTTAGTATGCAGCCAGACAGGCACAGAGGTGGATATTGTAAACCGCACAGGGAGCCTGTGTGTTCTAAATGCTCTCTTGCCCGAGTACAGTGAGAGGTGTAAACACCATTATTCCTCTTTGCAGGCTATGTGTTAAGGCAAGGAGAACAGCTCTGTTCTAACCAGGTAGGGGAGAGTACCGCTAGTCTAGTCATGTCAGCTCTTCAGGAACTTGGCGATGAAGAAGCCGATAGTGTCCTTGTTGGCTCGGTGTGCGAGGGGGATTGGGGACTCTGGCTGTTCTGTGGGGCTGTCATCCTCTCCCCTGGCCTCGGCCGCGCTCCAGCCCAACTCAGGACTGAACCTCTGGAGAAGACGCAGCTGCTCAGGTGACAGGCCAGCTCCCAGCATGCCCTCTGCTCCGATGTGGGGCTCCTGAGAGAGACAGACACATTAGTTGTTTTTTTTTGTGTGTGTGTGTGTGTGTGTGTGTGTGTGTTCATTTGTTACCTGAGGCTGTGTGTGTGTGTGTGTGTGTGTATTTGCATGCATGTGCTACCTGAGGCTGTAGTGTGAGGCAGGGGAAGGTGTTAAGGGCCCAGACCACCTGCCCCTCGTTCTCTGCCAGAGTCACCGTGCAGGTGCTGTACACCAGGATCCCACCTTTCTTCAGGAGCTGTACCGCCTGCCAATTATACACAAGACACACACATCAATGTCACACTCACAGTAAGCACTCTTTAACAGGCCCTCATCTCTCAATAGATAGACATCGCATTGTCGGAACGCCGGTGCATACACACACATTTACCTTACTGCGGTCTCTCCAGAGCCTAGATATTAAATGGCCTTAAGGAAACTCCAGTGGACACTGATGGAGCGCTTTGTGCCTCTGGGATAAGTGATGTGCTCACTATTGGACCCTAATCTCCCCACAGTAATCCATCTGCCGGCTATACTTAAGCTTTCCTTCAGAGTATAGCGGAGCCAAGCGCTCTGGAACAATCAAGCTTGGCCACACCGTCCTCTACTGGTCACGGCCAATGTTATGCGAGGTAAGCGTGTGTGCGAGCGTGCATGCATGCATCTGACCATGTGTGTGACGCACCGTGTGGAAGAGCTTGCGCTGTAGAGGCTGGTAGGAGCAGATCTCCTTCAGGTTCCAGGTACAGGCCATGCTGGGTCTCTGGCCTAGACCGCTACAGGGAGCATCCAGCAGCACCCGGTCAAAACTCTGTGGAGGGAAGGGTGGACCTGAAAACAGGATGAAATGAAAGTATGCAGGTCTCTGAATTAGTAATCATGCTAGCCAAGTACAGAGGTGAGAATAACATTGAGCGCCAAAGTGGTGTCCATGTCTGCATTCTAAATGGCACCCTATTACCTACTGTATAGTGCACTATATAGGGAATTAAGGTGCCATTTGGGATGCATCCCATCAGTCACATTCTGTACCCTCAGTGTCCTGGGCCTGGTCAGTGCACACAGCCTTGATGCTGTTGAAGCAGTGGGCTTTGATGCAGTCCAGATGCAGCGCCTTGGCGTTCTGACGGATGCGCTCTACCTTGCCTATGATCTTATCCAGGGCCACTACCTCTCCCTGCAAGGGACAAACCAAGTGAGCAGCAAAGTTCAAAACAACATACCAGGCAGCAGTGGGGAAAAGAGCCCAACATTGCACAACAACGCCACCTTGTGGAGAAGTAGATGTAATGTGCAAATAGAAACTTAAAGGGACATTTACTAATCTTCTTCATTTTGACAGACTACTTTAGAGGTCGGAAAACATCTCACAAACTTTGACCTGAAAGTGTAATATCCCTTTAATGCTGCAATATGTAACTTTTTGGGCGACCCAACCAAAATCACATAGAAATGTGAGTTATAGCTCTGTCATTCCCATTGAAAGCAAGTCTAAGAAGTGGTAGATCCGTTCTATGTGACCTATTTCTATGCTTCCCGTTCTGAAGTTTTGTTTTTGTGTCTTTTACTTTCGGTTTTGTACACCAGCTTCAAAATATATTTCAAAGCGGTTTAGATGGTACAATGATTCTCTAGACTATCCTTGCTTGACTTGTCACACAATCTGAAATTAGGCAAACTATTACAATTTTAGCAACCAGGAAATGGCGAAGCAATTTCTGCATATTGTACCTTTAAATTCAAGGTCTTCAAAGCCCAGCAGAGCCCCCCCCCCCCCCCCCCCTGAAACCCCCCCACCCCCTACAGTCTCTCACCTGTCCCCCCATCAGGGCAGCTATATGGCAGGTCTTCCCCCCGGGGGCAGCACACATATCAAGGATGCGCTCTCCAGGACGGGGCCCCAGCACGTGACCGACCACCACTGATGGGAGGTTCTAGAGTCATAGAAAGAGACAGGGGAAAACAGAGCTCAGAGTAGGAGTGCTAATCTAGGATAAGTTTTGCTGCTCAGATCATAATGAATAAGATTATATGGACAGGTGGGGACCTAGCACTCTAGACTGAAATGCTTTGTGGATACAGGCCCAGGTCCCCAATGTCTTATTTGTTGTGATCAAAATGGATTCTAAATCAGTACTTCTACTCTGAGATTCTTGATACATGAGATGCCCCTGATTCTGACTCATTCAGAGAATCTACTGCAGTCTCAAAAAACTGCTGTTCAAGAGGTACCTGTAGGAACGCCAGGCTGGGCAGTACCCCGTCGAAGGAGGGGCTCTGGTACAGGGGCTCTACCATCCGAATGCCAACACCCCTAGATGGGAAGAGAACAGTGACATTACTGCAAAATATAATAAAACCTGAGCATGTCTTACAGTTTAGGGCATGCTTTTTACTAGGACTAAATAATTCTGAACGTTGATATTGAGTATCATTGATATTGAGTATCTGCACATGCTTCATTCAATGAGGCTTGATCTGTATTAATTCTTTATTCAAATAGCAGCCATACTATTACCATGTTATTACCACTTTCTGATGTGCTGTAAAGTGCTACCCAAATATCAGCCCTATAACAGACTAGTGTAACACTGCTCTGAGAGAATTTTGTATAGAGATTCGAGACTTAAGCGTCTCTACCTACTTGACTGGTTCATCTGAGCAGAAGATGTTGGAGCGGTCCATTTCAGCGACTCCATTTCCCACAAACACTCTCTTTCCCTTAAAGTCCTTGTTCCCCCGTGTGCACTTCCCCTCCAGGTCCGAGAACACAGACACCGCATCGCCTGTCTTCATGACTGAGACAGTCAGAGAATGATCAGGCAACAGGTTTATGAGTTAATACTCTTTTACTAGACTGATGATAACAGTTCTAACACAATTTTAGTATCACAACATTGATATGTACACCACATCCCCTGTCTTCATGACTGAGACCAAACACACCACTATTATTATACCTCTAGTCCAGGCTATAATGTTTATTCACAAAACTATTGTTTTACTAGACTGCTGATAACAGTTCATCTGTTGTGAACGCAACTAGTATCACAACATTGACGTACTTTCCATTCAAATAATTGAAGAAGAACTCAAGGTCTACCAAATCGCTCCGGTCAAAGGCTCCAATGGCAACTAAGGAAGTCTGAAGAAAAAGTGTGCTGTCCTTGGTTTGTAGTTGAAGTGCATGAAGTTATCTTACACTTGGGTGTGGCGAGGATCCCTGGGGCGAAGACGTGCGCGCCCCTCAGAACAGCACTGCCACACTGAGCTCCTACTATGACCTCAGAGCTGAGCTGGACCACAGGCCTGAGGTCAGAGCGCAAAGTCAAGGGGTGGTAAAACACATTCACATACCGCTTATATGCTATGGTTACATCCCAAATGCCACCCTATTCCCTATCTACTGCACAATTTTTTTTACCAGTCCCTAGGGAATAGGGTGCCATTTGGGATGCAGAATATCTCTCTCTTTCACACACAAGGGTGATGAACAGCGCTAAAGATCAGAGGTACCACTTATATGCTATCATCACACATACATACCAACAGCAGCAAAGTAATAATTATTGGAAAGATTAAGAGCAGAAGAGAACCTTATCATGGCATTGTTAGCAATTGTTGGTTTATGAGGGCTTTCTTTGTGTCTTTTTGTTCTGTTGTTGATTTGGTTACATAGTATAATGTCAAACCCAATGTGCATAGTGTTTTTGCATAGCGAGTTAAGCTAAGAAACCTGTTATTTCTGCTGTAGTTCTATAAAATAATGTGTAGTTGTGGCCATGGTGGGAGTGATTTTGGAGAGGGTTTGGGATTTTTCTAAGCTCTGGTCCAGGGAGTTACACGCGGCTTGCTGACCCTGAAGGCTCAGCGTCAGAAAGCTGCGTGCAAAGCCCTGGACCAGAGTTACGATTTTTCCACCTGTAAAGACTGTTTTTCCCTCTGTGGAGTGGCCTCATACACTACATGACCAAAAGTATGTGGACACCTGCACGTCGAAAATCTCATTCCAAAATCATGGGCATTATTATGGAGTTGGTCCCCCCTTTGCTGCTATAACATCCTCCACTCTTCTGGGAAGGCTTTCCACTAGATGTTGGAACATTGCTGTGGGGACTTGCTTCCTATCAGCCACAAGAGCATTAGTGAGGTTGGGCACTTAGGGCGATTAGGCCTGGCTCGCAGTCAGCGTTCCAATTCATCCCAAAGGTGTTCGATGGGGTTGAGATCAGGGCTCTGTGCAGGCCAGTCAAGTTCTTCCACATCAATCTCGACAAACCATTTCATGTTTTGTGCACGGGGCATTGTCATGATGAAACAGGAAAGGGCCTTCCCCAAACTACCACAAAGTTGGAAGCACAGAATCGTCTAGAATGTCATTGTCAATGTCAGGGATGTAGCTCAGTTGGTAGAGCATGGTGTTTGCAACGCCAGGGTTGTGGGTTCGATTCCCACGGGGGTATGAAAAATAAATAAATAAATGTATGCACTCACTAACTGTAAGTCGCTCTGGATAAGAGCGTCTGCTAAATGACTTAAATGTAAATGTATGCTGTAGCATTCTCCCATTTTGTGAGCTTGTGTGGCCTACCACTTTGCGGCTGAGCTGTTGTTGCTCCTAGACATTTCCACTTCACCATAACAGCACTTACAGTTGACCGGGGCAGCTCCAGCATGGCAGAAATTTGACAAACTGAATTGTTGGAAAGATGGCATCCTATGACGGTGCCACGTTGAAAGTCACTGAGCTCTTCAGTAAGGCCATTCTACTGCCAATGTTTGTCTATGGAGATTGCATGTCTGTGTGCTCGATTTTATACACCGGTCAGCAACGGGTGTGGCTGAAATAGCCTAATCCAATCATTTGAAGGGGTGTCCAAATATACAGTGGGGAAAAAAGTATTTAGTCAGCCACCAATTGTGCAAGTTCTCCCACTTAAAAAGATGAGAGGCCTGTAATTTTCATCATAGGTACACGTCAACTATGACAGACAAATTGAGAAACTAAAATCCAGAAAATCACATTGTAGGATTTTTTATGAATTTATTTGCAAATTATGGTGGAAAATAAGTATTTGGTCACCTACAAACAAGCAAGATTTCTGGCTCTCACAGACCTGTACCTTCAAGAGGCCCCTCTGTCCTCCACTCGTTACCTGTATTAATGGCACCTGTTTGAACTTGTTATCAGTATAAAAAAGACACCTGTCCACAACCTCAAACAGTCACACTCCAAACTCCACTATGGCCAAGACCAAAGAGCTGTCAAAGGACACCAGAAACAACATTGTAGACCTGCACCAGGCTGGGAAGACTGAATCTGCAATAGGTAAGCAGCTTGGTTTGAAGAAATCAACTGTGGGAGCAATTATTAGGAAATGGAAGACATACAAGACCACTGATAATCTCCCTCGATCTGGGGCTCCACGCAAGATCTCACCCCGTGGGGTCAAAATGATCACAAGAACGGTGAGCAAAAATCCCAGAACCACACGGGGGGACCTAGTGAATGACCTGCAGAGAGCTGGGACCAAAGTAACAAAGCCTACCATCAGTAACCACTACGCCGCCAGGGACTCAAATCCTGCAGTGCCAGACGTGTCCCCCTGCTTAAGCCAGTACATGTCCAGGCCCGTCTGAAGTTTGCTAGAGTGCATTTGGATGATCCAGAAGAGGATTGGGAGAATGTCATAAGGTCAGATGAAACCAAAATAGAACTTTTTGGTAAAAACTCAACTCGTCGTGTTTGGAGGACAAAGAATGCTGAGTTGCATCCAAAGAACACCATACCTACTGTGAAGCATGGGGGTGGAAACATCATGCTTTGGGGCTGTTTTTCTGCAAAGGGACCAGGACGACTGATCCGTGTAAAGGAAAGAATGAATGGGGCCATGTATCGTGAGATTTTGAGTGAAAACCTCCTTCCATCAGCAAGGGCATTGAAGATGAAACGTGGCTGGGTCTTTCAGCATGACAATGATCCCAAACACACCGCCCGGGCAACGAAGGAGTGGCTTCGTAAGAAGCATTTCAAGGTCCTGGAGTGGCCTAGCCAGTCTCCAGATCTCAACCCCATAGAAAATCTTTGGAGGGAGTTGAAAGTCTGTGTTGCCCAGCGACAGCCCCAAAACATCACTGCTCTAGAGGAGATCTGCATGGAGGAATGGGCCAAAATACCAGCAACAGTGTGTGAAAACCTTGTGAAGACTTACAGAAAATGTTTGACCTGTGTCATTGCCAACAAAGGATATATAACAAAGTATTGAGAAACTTTTGTTATTGACCAAATACTTATTTTCCACCATAATTTGCAAATAAATTTATTAAAAATCCTACAATATGATTTACTGGATTTTTTTTCTTCAATTTGTCTGTCATAGTTGACGTGTACCTATGATGAAAATTACAGGCCTCTCTCATCTTTTTAAGTGGGAGAACTTGCACAATTGGTGGCTGACTAAATACTTTTTTTCCCCACTGTATATACAGTACCAGTCAAAAGTTTGGACACACCTACTCATTCAAGGGTTTTTCTTTATTTTTACTATTTTCTACATTGTAGAAAAATTGTGAAGAAATCAAAACTATGAAATAACACATATGGAATCATGTAGTAACCAAAAAAAGTGTTAAACAAATCAAAATATATTTTTGGGTCATTGTCCTGTTGAAAAACAAATGATAGTCCCACTAAGCCCAAACCAGATGGGAAGGTGTATCGCTGCAGAATGCTGTGGTAGCCATGCTGGTTAAGTGTGCCTTGAATTCTAAATAAATCACAGACAGTGTCATCAGCAAAGCGCCCCCACACCATCCCACCTCCTCCATGCTTCACTGTGGAAACCACACATGCGGAGATCATCCGTTAACCTACTCTGCGTCTCACAAAGACATGGCGATTGGAACCAAAAATCTCACATTTGGACCAAAGGACAGATTTCCACATGTCTAATGTCCATTGCTTGTGTTTCTTGGCCCAAGCAAGTCACTTCTTATTATTGGTGTCCTTTAGTAGTGGTTTCTTTGCAGCAATTCGACCATGAAGGCCTGATTCAAGCAGTCTCCTCTGAACAGTTGATGTTGAGATGTGTCTGTTACTTGAACTCTGTGAAGCATTTATTTGGGCTGCAATCTGAGGTGCAGTTAATAGCCGATTTCTGAGGCTGGTAACTCTAATGAACTTATACTCTGCAGCAGAGGTAACTCTGGGTCTTCCTTTCCTGTGGCGGTCCTCATAAAAGCCAGTTTCATCATAGACTTGATGGTTTTTGCGACTGCACTTGAAGAAACTTTTAGTTCTTGAAATTTTCCAGATTGACTGACCTTCATGTCTTAAAGTAATGATGGACTGTCATTTCTCTTTGCTTATTTGAGCTGTTCTTGCCATAATATGGACTTGGTCTTTTACCAAATAGGGCTATCTTCTGTTTACCACCCCTACCTTGTCACAACACAACTGATTGGCTCAAACGCATGAAGAAGGAAAGAAATTCCACAAATTAACGTTTAACAAGGCACACCTGTTAATTGAAATGCATTCCAGGTGACTACCTCATGAAGCTGGTTGAGAGTGTGCAAATCTGTCATCAAGGCAAAGGGTGGCTACTTTGAATAATCTCAAATATAAAATATATTTTGATTTGTTTAACACTTTTTTGGTTAATACATGATTCCATGTGTTATTTCATAGTTTTGATGTCTTCACTATTATTCTACAATGTAGAAAATAATAAAAAGAAAAGAAAAACCCTGGAATGAGTAGGTATGTCCAAACTTTTGACTGGTACTGTGTGTGTGTATATATATATATATATATATACATACACACACACACACACACACACACACACACACACACACACACACACTGCTCAAAAAAATAAAGGGAACACATCCTAGATCTGAATGAATTTAATAATCTTATTAAATACTTTTTTATTTACATAGTTGAATGTGCTGACAACAAAATCACACAAAAATTATCAATAGAAATCAAATTTATCAACCCATGGAGGTCTGGATTTGGAGTCACACTCAAAATTAAAGTGGAAAACCACACTACAGGCTGATCCAACTTTGATGTAATGTCTTTAAAACAAGTCAAAATGAGGCTCAGTAGTGTGTGTGGCCTCCACGTGCCTGTATGACCTCTCTACAATGCCTGGGCATGCTCCTGATGTGGTGGCGGATGGTCTCCTGAGGGATCTCCTCCCAGACCTGGACTAAAGCATCCGCCAACTCCTGGACAGTCTGTGGTGCAACGTGGCGTTGGTGGATGGAGCGAGACATGATGTCCCAGATGTGCTCAATTGGATTCAGGTCTGGGGAACAGGCAGGCCAGTCCATAGCATCAATGCCTTCCTCTTGCAGGAACTGCTGACACACTCCAGCCACATGAGGTCTAGCATTGTCTTGCATTAGGAGGAACCCAGGGCCAACCGCACCAGCATATGGTCTCACAAGTGGTCTGAGGATCTCATCTCGGTACCTAATGGCAGTCAGGCTACCTCTGGCGAGCACATGGAGGGCTGTGCGTCCCCCCCAAAGAAATGCCACCCCACACCATGACTGACCCACCGCCAAACCGGTCATGCTGGAGGATGTTGCAGGCAGCAGAACGTTCTCCACGGCGTCTCCAGACTCTGTCACGTCTGTCACGTGCTCAGTGTGAACCTGCTTTCATCTGTGAAGAGCACAGGGCGCCAGTGGCAAATTTGTCAATCCTGGTGTTCTCTGGCAAATGCCAAACGTCCTGCACGGTGTTGGGCTGTAAGCACAACCCCCACCTGTGGACGTCGGGCCCTCATACCACCCTCATGGAGTCTGTTTCTGACCGTTTGAGCAGACATGCACATTTGTGGCCTGCTGGAGGTCATTTTGCAGGGCTCTGGCAGTGCTCCTCCTTGCACAAAGGCGGAGGTAGCGGTCCTGCTGCTGGGTTGTTGCCCTTCTACGGCCTCCTCCACGTCTCCTGATGTACTGGCCTGTCTCCTGGTAGCGCCTCCATGCTCTGGACACTACGCTGACAGACACAGCAAACCTTCTTGCCACAGCTCGCATTGATGTGCCATCCTGGATGAGCTGCACTATCTGAGCCACTTGTGTGGGTTGTAGACTCAGTTTCATGCTACCACTAGAGTGAAAGCACTGCCAGCATTCAAAAGTGACCAAAACATCAGCCAGGAAGCATAGGAACTGAGAAGTGGTCTGTGGTCACCACCTGCAGAACCAGTCCTTTATTGGGGGTGTCTTGCTAATTGCCTATAATTTCCACCTGTTGTCTATTCCATTTGCACAACAGCATGTGAAATGTATTGTCAATCAGTGTTGCTTCCTAAGTGGACAGTTTGATTTCACAGAAGTGTGATTGACTTGGAGTTACATTGTGTTGTTTAAGTGTTCCCTTTATTTCTTTGAGCAGTGTGTATATATATATACAGTGGGGAGAACAAGTATTGTATGATTTTTAAGTAATTAATTTGCATTTTATTGCATGACATAAGTATTTGATACATCAGAAAAGCAGAACTTAATATTTGGTACAGAAACCTTTGTTTGCAATTACAGAGATCATACGTTTCCTGTAGGTCTTGACCAGGTTTGCACACACTGCAGCAGGGATTTTGGCCCACTCCTCCATACAGACATTCTCCAGATCCTTCAGGTTTCGGGGCTGTCGCTGGGCAATACGGACTTTCAGCTCCCTCCAAAGATTTTCTATTGGGTTCAGGTCTGGAGACTGGCTAGGCCACTCCAGGACCTTGAGATGCTTCTTACGGAGCCACTCTTTAGTTGCCCTGGCTGTGTGTTTCTGGTCATTGTCATGCTGGAAGACCCAGCCACGACCCATCTTCAATGCTCTTACTGAGGGAAGGAGGTTGTTGTCCAAGATCTCGCGATACATGGCCCCATCCATCCTCCCCTCAATACGGTGCAGTCGTCCTGTCCCCTTTGCAGAAAAGCATCCCCAAAGAATGATGTTTCCACCTCCATGCTTCACGGTTGGGATGGTGTTCTTGGGGTTGTACTCATCCTTCTTCTTCCTCCAAACATGGCGAGTGGAGTTTAGACCTAAAAGCTATATTTTTGTCTCATCAGACCACATGACCTTCTCCCATTCCTCCTCTGGATCATCCAGATGGTCATTGGCAAACTTCAGACGGGCCTGGACATGCGCTGGCTTGAGCAGGGGGACCTTGCGTGCGCTGCAGGATTTTAATCCATGACGGCGTAGTGTGTTACTAATGGTTTTCTTTGAGACTGTGGTCCCAGCTCTCTTCAGGTCATTGACCAGGTCCTGCCGTGTAGTTCTGGGCTGATCCCTCACCTTCCTCATGATCATTGATGCCCCACGAGGTGAGATCTTGCATGGAGCCCCAGACTGAGGGTGATTGACCGTCATCTTGAACTTCTTCCATTTTCTAATAATTGCGCCAACAGTTGTTGCCTTCTCACCAAGCTGCTTGCCTATTGTCCTGTAGCCCATCCCAGCATTGTGCAGGTCTACAATTTTATCCCTGATGTCCTTACACAGCTCTCTGGTCTTGGCCATTGTGGAGAGGTTGGAGTCTGTTTGATTGAGTGTGTGGACAGGTGTCTTTTATACAGGTAACGCGTTCAAACAGGTGCAGTTAATACAGGTAATGAGTGGAGAACAGGAGGGCTTCTTAAAGAAAAACTAACAGGTCTGTGAGAGCCGGAATTCTTACTGGTTGGTAGGTGATCAAATACTTATGTCATGCAATAAAATGCAAATTAATTACTTAAAAATCATACAATGTGATTTTCTGGATTTTTGTTTTAGATTCCGTCTCTCACAGTTGAAGTGTACCTATGATCAAATTTACAGACCTCTACATGCTTTGTAAGTAAGAAAACCTGCAAAATCGGCAGTGTATCAAATACTTGTTCTCCCCACTGTATATATAGTTTATTTGGCTGACATTTTGCAACCATTCCTGACATACCTTGGGCCGATGACAGGAAGAAGCAGCACATCTGGAATGTGTGGGTGGGGGAGAATGGTAATGGAAATGTCTTCAGACTGAGAGTCACACCTCTGCTGCTGCAAGAACAGAGACAGCAGGGTTAGAAGAGCTCACACTGAGGTGTCAACACACAGAAAACAGTGTTGACTATCATAAATGTATAGACACACAGTCAGACATGAATGCTCTCACATAGCATACCCACCAGGACAAAGAAAACCTTTAGCAATAAAAAACACAATCTTAGGTTAAGTTCAGGCAACACTGCTCCATAGACACATGTCCACCATGGCTGTGGCCTGATTCTCCACCCTTTTCCGAAAGTGTGCATTTGCACCCTGTCATGTATTTAAAAGCATTGGATTGGTGTAAGCATTGGCTGGAGGGAGTTTCCACCATTGTTAAATCCATGACTGCTGATGTAAAAAGGGCTTTATAAATACATTTAATGTATTGATTGATTGATGACGGAGAGTGAGAAACTGTGCAAACACACTTCGGTAGAAGGGAATAAACTCAGTCCATCTGTCTCTCACACTATAGCCTAGAAGGAGCATTGAACTTAAGCACATTTCAGTTAATGTATTCCAATTAATAAATCCCACCGTCACAAGTCACCAACACAGAATGCAGACTGCCCCCCACCTGTTTGAGTTCCTCCCCAAGCCTCTGTTGGATCTCCTCCAGGGGAGCCAGGTGAGTGCTGGCCCGCACACAGGTCAAGGCAGGCGGGTGGGACAGGCAGGAGAGTAGCCTCTGGAACCTCTGCTCCGCCTCTCCCTGACTCACTGCAGCCAACACCTGCACCCAAACATAGGACAGGGGGTGTCAGGTTCGAGCAGCTGAACATTACTTCTCTCTTTCAACAGATCCTTTTTGGGTGACACTTGAACTTCAGGGCCCATATTCATAAAGCATCTCAGAGTAGATCTAGGATCAGGGCCTCCCTTTCCATAACATTTGGATTCATTATTATCTAAAAGGCCAAAGTGATCCTTGATCAGCAATGCTACTCTGAGAAGCAGGATAAATACAGGTCCATATATCTGTACATAACTAGATGAGATCTGATAAAGTGCAAGTAAAATCTTAGGTGTCATTTAGAAATAACAATAAACTTGCATCTAGTAGAAGTCAACCAACGTCCTCAATGTTCAACAAGAACAAGAACATTAATGTAGTCACTGTCAAAACAATGAACACAAACAGATTAATTAGTGTGTGTGCTAGGTGCATTTTGGAACGAGGGTGTATTTACATACATTGTATTGGGTTTGGGGGGGGGGGGGGGGGGGGGATTGAGAGAAAATATCTAAAGGATCGTATTATTAAACAGACTTTCCAAACGTGGGTATGTTATAGAACCCACTTAATCTCTGCTTAGCTCATATCAAAATAAACGTCCCCCACAAGTTATTCATTTTTTCTCCACATATGGCGCACGTGTGGGACTTTTATTTTGACATGAGGTAAGCAGAGTGGAAGTGGATCTACAACAGATCTGGCTTGGAAACTCTTTAATAATACAATCCTTTAGATATTTTGTTTCAAATTTCCCCCCTCATAATAACCAACCGTCCTGCCCACCGGCACAGTAAGTTTAAATGGAATTGTATTTCACTTCAGGCTTTTGTGCAACCCAATACAATTGAAAGCAACGCTAGTGTGTGTAAATACATCCGCGTTGCTAAATGCCCCTGTGTGTGTGTGTGTGTGTGTAGCAGGTAAGGGAACCCCACCTCCTTGTTTATGAAGACATTCCTCAAGTAATCATGAACTTCTGGCTTCAAAGCAATTCTTGGGAAAATTGACATTTCTTCTGGTATTGGTTATGGCAATTTGAAGGTGGAAAAATACACCTATTTCGACCTGAGATGTAACATAGAGAAATTAAAGTTATTGTTAATTACTGCATCCATTCCCCTGAAATTGTCAATCCCTGACCATCATTCTTGATGACGGGAGACTTGGGAGTGAAGAGGCTAGTAGTATTGTCGGTGATATGAAGACATCAAACGCATAAGCTTCTTTGCGACGCCATTACTAGCATGTTGCTTGCATGAAGTATTGATTCAAAGTACGTTTGTGTGCATAATGTAAAGGTGAAAAGCGTTTTACGAATCAGTTTCCATGCTACTCACGTTACACTTTGGGGTGAAGGCTCTTCGTAGGGCATTTCCTCATACGTCATTAACATGTGTTTTTATCGTAATGTTGGGAGTTGTAGTTCTTTTGGGGCAATCTAATTGCATTTTATATTTTAGTCATTTAGCAGACGCTCTTATCCAGAGCGACTTACAGTTAGTGAGTGCATACATTATTTTTTATTTGTTTTGTTCATACTGGCCCCCCGTGGGAATTGAACCCACAACCCTGGCGTTGCAAACGCCATGCTCTACCAACTGAGCTACATCCCTGCCGGCCATTCCCTCCCCTATCCTGGACGACGCAGGGCCAATTATGCGCAGCCCTATGGGTCTCCCGTACGACAGAGCCTGGATTCGAACCAGGATCTCTAGTGGCATGCATGACCACTGCGCCACTCGGGAGAGTGGAGTCGTTTTCTGGAGTCGTTTTCTCATTCTTTAGATACTGTACTGCATGTAGGTCTATATGCATGTTGCTATTGACACACACATTTCAGTTCAATGATAATTCAGAGATTTTTTTTATGTTTTGATTTTTATGTACATTAATCAAACATTAATCAACTCACATGTGATAGTCACTTACTATTTGTGTGTGAGTAATAATAATCTGTATCTATAAAATGTCAAATCTAAAACTTCTACACCAGACAACAGATTGGGGATGCTTCATTATTTTTTTTATTTTTCTTGAGGACACAATTTTTCAGCTCTAATTTACTTCACTAAAACTAAGACTAAGATTACAATCCTAACTACATCCAGGACACTGATGTGAAGTGTGTTTTCAATCATATTACATTTGAAGGGGGGGCAAAACTGTTGTTTCTGCTCAAAACTGTAATTGGCATTCCTGCGTCAGCTGAAAGGCGAAAGTAATATGCTGTAAAGGGGTAGATTGGAATTCACTCCCCGAGTACAATCTCTCTTCAAGCCCTTGCAGCAGAGAAGGTCAGAACTGGTCTCAGTGGTGTCTTTCTGAAGGTATCTTCCTGTTGGAGTTTCCTTCCAGTTCTGATGTTGTTCTTTTCAAGCCCAGTACTAGAACAGTGGTTGTTGGCTCAGTGCAGTCTAGGGGAACATAAAGTTGTTATTTTATGGAGAGTTTCTGTATCCTCCCTTTGTCGACGCCAGCTCAAAGGCGAAGGTAAGATGTTGTCCAGGGGTTGAATAAAAACCATATTTTCTCTCATCAGATTAGCAACATCTCCAAGTATTATCCCTGTTACAAGGAGAGTCAGAAGTCCGCAGTGTTTTGAAGGTGTCTTCCTATCTAGCATTTGAGTGTCCCTTCATGTTCTGCAAAATTGTTCCCTGGAGAGCAGCTTTGAGTTTCAGTCCTCATTCCCAGTTGGTTGCGCAGATCAAATGTGATATCCGGTGATTTTTGGTGTCCTCCTCTTCCTTCTCCTTTGTTTCTTGTTTTTCGATGCTATCCTTGACTAATGCAATTGGAGGAGGGTTTGGTTTTGAACACTAAAGAATTTTAAGACCCAATTGTCCAGTTCAGGACCATAAAAGAGGATGTTGTTCTGGTACTAACAGCTACTAATTCCAAATTACCTAAATCTCTCCCCACTCCAATTAAGTTCCCACCCCTACCCTCCTCAATTTGCTTACATTGGTAAAGAACCTGCAAAAAAATAAAAATAACAAACAACAGTTTGTAAAAGATCTGATAGGTATGACATAAAGTATGTGATTTGACATTGCTTGATGACACATTAATTAATGTATTTCATATCAGTATTTCTTATGGCATTTGCAATGGACACTGACTTAGGGGCAAGCCTGGTCCGACAGCCAGTCGTGCAGGAGGATCTGCTCCAGGACGGGCCTCTTTAGAGGGTTTTGCTTGAGGCACCAGCGGACCAGGTCTCTGCATTCTATGGAACAATAGGATTAGACAGAGTCACAAATGGTATCTTTGTTACAGTAAAAAAAAGTATACAGAGAGAACACACACTTGTTGAAAACGTCTTTTTAAACTCTATTAATCAAGTATCCTACCATAAACCATTTTTAAATGCAAAATAGCTTAATTCTGTGTTGCTACTGTGTCACCATCGCTTTGGATAGTGTGTAGATAAAGCACTGGTAATTGGACCCGTACCAAATGGCACCCTACTCCCTATATACGCCTATCTCCTCCCAGCTGCAACTACATACCTTTGGAGATCCCTCTCTTGAAGCGCAGGTGTCCTCGGATGATTTCGGCCTCCTTCCTGAAGGGCAGGTCACCGTTGACCAGGCCAAACAGAAGCACACCCAGGGACCAGATGGTGGCTTTGCATCCCTGGTACTTCCCATCCAGAACCCACTCAGGGGGAGAGAACTCTGTAGTGCCTGAGAGAGAAGGGGAGAGACGGGGGAGGGGGGATGTGTTGAACATAGTCAGTTACGTTCCTTTGCCCGTAGCTCACCACACCAATGCTATTCAGTCTTCGTCTCTTCTCACCAGCAAAGTCCCTGAAGAGTTTCTCCCTCAGCAGATCCCCGCAGCCGAAGTCGATGAGCTTGACATTAAGAGTGTCCGTCTGCACCAGCAGGTTCTCCACTTTGATGTCGCGGTGGATGACGCCGCGGTCACGGCAGTGCCGTACCGCCAGAACCACCTGGAGCATGATGACCCTCGCCATGGCCTCGTTGAGCTTCCCGCCCATCGTCTCACAGTAGTCGTACAGGTCCATGCAGGAGGTGGGACGCTCCAGGACCAGGATGAACTTCTTGGGCTGCTCGAACCAATCCACCAGCTCCAGCACGTGCTCACAGACAGGGGGCCGCGACACGATCTGCATCAGGGCTACCTCCAGGGGCAGCCTGTACGTTGTTCCAGGCTAAAGGGGGAAGGTTGATTAACAACACAGTAAGTTTCATGCATTGGCAGCTCACAGTGGGCTGTTATATTGGTCTGACTGTACATACAATTATTAGATAGGCTAGCACTCCGATGTATATCCATCTGACTGTTTTTACGATTGTTAGGTAGGCTAGTACACTGATTCACATTTATCGGACTGTACTTACGATTGTGAGGTAGTACTCCGATACACCCTTGGGGATGTACTTAATGGCTACCTGAGTGACGGAGAAGAGAGAAGCACATTGTGAATAATCAACATAATTGTGGTAATGTCTTATGCTGTGGATGGACAGATCTAAAGAGGGAGGAAAGAGTGAGGAAAGAGATGGAGGGATGATGATTACTTCTCTCCCATCTTCCTTTCGTGTTCCCTCATAGACGGACCCACAGCCTCCTTGTCCCAGCAACTTGCCCACGTTGTAGAGCGAGGTGAAACTGGCTTCAACACAAATGTCACAGTTAAGGACATGGCCCAGTCCCTCCCCTAACCACACACTGTTTATCAGGCTATTCAATGTCTAAGAGACTTCATTGAGCACAAGAACCAGATCTAGAAGAGTACAAACAGAGCCATTATCAATAAAACTGATCAGACAGGGGGCTTTATAGTACATTTGACTTAAGTCAGATGTAGGTATTTGCATTTTACAACAATTGGCCACTGTTTGTAATTATCTCATTGAAACACTCTGTGGTGTCTGGTCACTCAAACCTAAGGCAGGTTATGACCAATGTGTCTGACCTCTGCGTGGTGGGTTGCGCCGGACTTTGGCCTTGCATTCATCGCAGACTTCTGAACATTTGGAGTTGGTCCTCTCGCTGCTGGTGGATGTGTCTGTTGATGTGGAGGAGCCAAAGGAGCTGTATGACCCGGATGCCACGGTGACCTTGATCTTCTTTGCAGTCCTAAGGTCGTCTGAATCTAAATCTAGGAAACTAGTCATCCTTTTCCTATTTGATCCCATGTCGCATTGGGTTCCCTTGTCCTCCATCTTGGGGGTTGGCAGGCCCCTTCTCCTTGGCATCTTTGAAATTGCCCTGGTCTCCATAGGAGTGGGCCAGTCTGGGTCAGCCGCCTCACTCTCAATCTGCAGTTTCTGGAGAGTGCTCTGTGTCAATTGAGGACTAGGGAGCACCAAGGAAACCCTTTTGGATATGGCCTGCTGGCTGGACCGTTTTTTGGATGGGCGTTCGCCCCCGTCCACATCGAACCTGCACTTCCTCTTCATTCTCAGCCCCTTGTTCTGAAACAGTCAGATGGTCCTAACATTTTATTTTGGGATGTTTGTGATAACCTTATGAGGAAATAGTGTGATTTGTAAGTGCACCAATTAGCCACCTTGCCATTGTAATAGATATATTTAAGCCCTGTCCAGTACAGAAACAAACCCAGAGCCCCTAGCCCCCAATGAAATTGTGTAGGTCTGAAATGATTTGATTGCCTAAGCAATATGGTGAAAACAATAATATCTAGCCTATTGTAGGGCAAGGGTAAAACAAATCAATTGAAAGAAAGTTCAAGTATGAGTTTGATACTATTTTGCACATTTTGCAGTAGTTTTGGGATATGCTGAGAACATTTTAGTCATAATCTAAGACACCATTTACACACATTGTTCACACCATAAACTATTCTGTTGAATTCAGTCCTGGGTTCAAATACTATTTGAAATCTTTAAAATACTTTGCAAAGTAACACTTACACCACTCTCTGAGCCATATGCTTTAGCCTGCCTGGAGTGCCAAATGGGCGGGGTTTGCCGTTTTGGGACTGTTCCATTGGCCTGATTTCAAACGGTTTCAAACTGTTTATACTGTGAACCATCAGATCCTCCTCTCCACCCTCTCCAAGTTGGGCATCTCCGGCGCGGCTCACTCTTGGATTGCGTCCTACCTGACCGGTCGCTCCTACCAAGTGGCGTGGCGAGAATCTGTCTCCGCTCCACGTGCTCTCACCACTGGTGTCCCCCAGGGCTCAGTTCTAGGCCCTCTCCTATTCTCGCTATACACCAAGTCACTTGGCTCTGTCATATCCTCACATGGCCTCTCCTATCATTGCTACGCAGACGACACACAACTAATCTTCTCCTTTCCCCCTTTTGATAACCATGTGGCGAATCGCATCTCTGCATGTCTGGCAGACATATCAGTGTGGATGACGGATCACCACCTCAAGCTGAACCTCGGCAAGACGGAGCTGCTCTTCCTCCCGGGGAAGGACTGCCCATTCCATGATCTCGCCATCACGGTTGACAACTCCGTTGTGTCCTCCTCCCAGAGTGCGAAGAGCCTCACCGCTAACATCAAGGCGGTGACCCGATCCTGTAGGTTCATGCTATACAACATTCGGAGAGTACGACCCTGCCTTACACAGGAAGCGGCACAGGTCCTAATCCAGGCACTTGTCATCTCCCGTCTGGATTACTGCAACTCGCTGTTGGCTGGGCTCCCTGCCTGAGCCATTAAACCCCTACAACTCATCCAGAATGCTGCAGCCCGTCTGGTGTTCAACCTTCCCAAGTTCTCTCACGTCACCCCGCTCCTCCACACACTCCACTGGCTTCCAGTTGAAGCTCGCATCTGCTACAAGACCATGGTGCTTGCCTACGGAGCTGTGAGGGGAACGGCACCTCCGTCCCTTCAGGCTCTGATCAGTCCCTACACCCAAATGAGGGCATTGCGTTCATCCACCTCTGGCATGCTGGCCCCCCTACCTCTGCGGAAGCACAGTTCCCGCTCAGCCCAGTCAAAACTGTTCGCTGCTCTGGCACCCCAATGGTGGAACAAGCTCCCTCACGACGCCAGGACAGCGGAGTCACTCACCACCTTCCGGAGACACTTGAAACCCCACCTCTTTAAGGAATACCTGGGATAGGATAAAGTAATCCTTCTACCCCCCCTTACCCCACCCCCCCCCCCCAAAAAAAAAAAAAAAAAACGTCTTGTAAAATGGTTATCCCACTGGCTATAAGGTGAATGCACAAATGTGTAAGTTGCTCTGGATAAGAGCGTCTGCTAAATGACGTAAATGTAAATGTAAATGTAAATGTTTCAACCCAGGTCTGGTTGGATTATCTTTGAAGTCAATCAAATGTACAACCTACCAGGAGTGTGAATACAGGAAGTGGTTCCGTTGAGGTCCTGGACCCGTTTGATTGATTTGTCCATCAAAATGTCTATATGTCAGCCGTGATGATGTCATTTGGCACAACTTTGTCACACAGTTGACATCACAATAGCTCACGCTTAACAACACTGGGGCCAGCCCCGGCGACAGTAACACCCACGCTTGTTGTAAAAAATTACTCCTGAAAAGTATAAATAAACACAGTACAAAATTATTCTAATGTCTTCTTGAACTTTATTCAGGTTCATTGATGAAAAATAATCCTGTCATTTTTCAACCAATTATTGAGCTACTGGCGTCAACGTCATCAATTGTAACTTGACACTTAGGCTGGGGATGGCGTTTGAAAAACACCGCATCGGGGTTTACACGAACAGTCAGTTTGAGGAGGATACAAAACTCACAGGCATAAATCTCTGTTTAAGGAAAACTTCGTGTATATAAAGTTCTCACAAGTAGCCTTAGCTAGCAGCTGGAAACAAGTCAACTCGAAGCGGTTAATGTTAAATCCTTAGCTAACTAACGTTAGCTCTGGGCCGCTAGCTCTCGTAAACAGAATTCCAAAGGCACCATCATCAGGAATGTTGAGTGTCAACGTATTTTACCAGAACGGTTAGTAGTGGACTCTGTTGATGCTGGATGCTAGTTAACGTTAGCCCATATACAAAATAACTGAGTCTGACATACTGGGTACCTCGGATAGTAAAGAAAGGTAGCTAGTTAGCTAATAATTTCTCAACTAGAGTTTTGTTGTGGAGCTAGTTTACGTGGCTTGTTGTGGAGCTAGTTAATAATTTCAAAAATACTAACGGGGCTTGTTGTGCCAGCTAACGTTAGTTAGCCCTGGATACGTCGATTGTCCACCCTTTGCAGTTCAAACAACTGACGACATGGGTCTTATATTTGCCAAACTGTGGAGTTTCTTTTGCAATCAAGGTGAGTACTTAGCTACCAGCTAACCTTTTAGCTTGCTAGTAGCTAACTAGTACGTTAGCTAGTACACGCAAAATAATATGGGGCCTTTATCAGTACGGTTAGCTAGCTAGCCAAGTAACGTTTTTGGCTGCCAGCTGTTCTTCGACCCGATGTGTAGCTAACGTTATTCCTTGACGGTGGCTGCATGCAAAACAACAAATAGTAGTGGTCTAGTTAGTTAACTATATTTATTTATTTATTTATTTATAGTAACTCAATGTTAGGGAGTTACCGTGGTGGGCAAAATAATGTAATGTTACGCAATGTGTACTGACATGATTAAGGTTTACAGCATGCCAGCTAAGGATACTGTTAGATGTAACGTTAACACTCAAATAGCCGCATGTTGGAGAGGAATAGTATGCACTCTGTGGTCCAATTTCGGACTTGCTATTTAGGCAACTGTTTCTGTTGACTGAGGAATGGACACAAGGGACAACTTTGGAAGGATGTGGCAGTCGGTGTGGTGTTCATAGGGCTAAATGGAAAACAAAGGAGTGTTGTAATTACATTTTTACATTTTAGTCATCTTATCCAGAGCAATTTACAGTTAGTGAGTGCATACTTTTTTTTTCTTCTTTCTCATACTGGCCCCGCGTGGGTAATGGCCCTTTCCTGTCTTTTCAATCCAGAGAAAGAGACCCCCCTCATTGTAAAGAACATGTCAATTATGTCACAGAGAGTTCAGTATAATGGAATTGGGCAGAGCCTTTTAACCCGGTCCCATATCTGTTTGTGCTCTTTCCAACTCCATTGCTCATTGTCAAATCAAACATGACAAGGAGTTGGCATGATGATAGCACAAACAGACCGGCACTCATGCTAGCCTGGTACCAAATCTGTTAGAAGTATTACAATGGAGGTCATCTATAGTAGAGCAACTCTCTCATACTTCTGTCCTGCGATGTTGGGCCATGAGGAAATCCTGCGGAATTGTGGATCCCATTGGCCTAATCTCTCAGTGAGACAAGAGAACCAGTGGATTGCTAATCCCAGCCTCAAGTAATACCTCAGATTAGTTAACTTTATTAGGGTAATATCAAAAGTAAGTCAAGTCATTGTTTATAGGGAAAATATGAACAGGTTATTATATTGCAGCATTAAATTAAGTTTTGCATCTTGCCCTCTTAGTTTTCTTTTCCTTTTCATGGTTTGAGTGGAGTAGCCCAAGGCCTACCGATAATTCTATTATATTGCAGCAAACGCAACATTACACTTAATTTGGCCAAAGAAAATGACTTAACAGAATGAAACAAAACACGTGTTGCATATTTAAAGAACTGGTTTAAACCTTGAACAGGCCTATATTGCAGTAATTACCAACAAAGGTGAGTGCCTACTGTAGGCCTACCCAACAAATGACAGCAATAGGCTAATGCTATTTATTTTACAACAGGCCTTTTTTTAACCTAAATATGGAGCACAAAATTCTTCAAAAGACAGAACTTAATTTAGGCAACAAATGTCTCAACAAAATGAAACAACATGTTTGCATATTTAAAGAACTGGTTTATTTTAAATAGGCTAATAATAATAATATACAAAAAATAATGATAAAACAAATGATAATAAATAAAACCTGAATAGCGAGTTGCACACAGACCATTTGGCCGTGCCAACGTTCTTCTCATCTTTGTCCACTAGAATATTAAAACTTTCCCCTTGTCGGCTTCTTTTTCATTGTTTTTTTTCCCCCCTCTAACTTTTGTTTTATTTGAATGAAATAGGCCTCCATCTTCACAATCAACTTGAGCCTAGGCCAATGCGGCTTATTCTTTCGTTCTCTCTCAGCAGCAGGCGCACGTGAGGTGAGCAGCCGGAACCACTTTCAGCAGGACAAAAGCTATACATTTTTGAGTTGCTGTTGGCTGACACAGATAAAGCTCGCGCAGTTCTCATCTCCCACACATTAAATTAAGAGGACTGGTCCAGATGACAAATCAATTTTAATTGCACAGACCTGTGGCAATTATATCAGATCCGAGAGACAAGTCAGAATTTAGGACCCTGACCCGCTCATGTCCTGGGTCAGATCTCGGAATTTCGGCTCTGTTGGACCCGTGAAGACCTTTATCTTAGACCTCTACCATGTCCAGTTTCACTCACTCCAACAGATGAGTTAATGGTACTGAGATTACTACTAGGCTAGATGTTTGTGGAATGTGCATTCTGGACCACTTCCATCATGGTGTTTGTCATATTGAAAACATTTTGTTTGAATAGAAAATATAGAGTTCAGATAAGTCCAATGAATGTGTTCGTGGATATGGAAATGTCGGGTAGTGTTCTTTGCATGTAACGTCTCAACTCACTCCTCTGTGGGCTTTGTTGGCCGGACCGACCCACATCCACCACAGGGTAACTATCCTCTCAGGAACTAATAGCCGTGGAACATCTGACGACATCCTCTGTTGTGCGCCAAAGCCTGTCAAAATCATCGGCCTTCTGACAATACTACCTTCTTCCTCGTCGCCCGTCGGCGTGCATACTTTGATTCAGGCTTTGGTGTGCCAGCTGCCTCTGTATGATAGTGGAGCGTTAAAGGCCCTAAAGTAACACAGAAGCTAAAGACACTGTATGGTGATTTCAGGGGTGGGCTACTTGTGCTTGTGTTAGGCCAGCTAAAGCTAAGAGCTCATTTGCTTGAAGAGGTAGGCTAATTAGCTTTGAAAGTGGCTCCGGGGTGAAGTTTCCCCTAGGTACAGATCTAGGATCCGCTTCCCCTCCCCTAATCTTAACCATTAGTGGGGAAAATGCGAAACTGACCCAAGATCAGCGTCTAGGGACAACTTCACCCTACTCTTTGAAAGTGCGGAAGGAAGTTCAGTGCCTTATGAATGGCAAGAAGGTACTGTATATTGGGAAGGGAAACTGTAACCAGTGTTCTCTTTGTTTCAGAACACAAGGTGATTATTGTCGGTTTGGACAACGCTGGAAAGACCACTATACTGTACCAATTGTGAGTACTACAGTTTTATTTCCTTGTCTGCTGTCTCCATGTAGCTTTAACTAGAACTCAAGAGTTTTTCTATGTTTAAGGAAAACTCCTGGCCATACTAATGACTTGCTCTCTGAGGTAGATGATTGAAACGTTTTGTAACTTCCTCCTCAGTCTGATGAATGAGGTGGTCCACACATCGCCCACCATAGGGAGTAATGTGGAGGAGATAGTGGTGAAGAACACCCACTTCCTCATGTGGGACATCGGGGGACAGGAGTCTCTCCGGTCCTCCTGGAACACCTATTACTCCAACACAGAGGTAAGTTACACACACCACAACATACTCTACTCACCCAGAGGCCAGTGCTGTACGCTTTAGTGGTAGCAGACAGATGGTGCATAAGGTCCAGTGGTGTGTGTTGTAAATAGTGGGGCTCCTAAACACTAATAGATGCTGTCAGAGATGGGAACAAAAGTTTTGCCTAGCCTAGCCCCCCCCCCCCCCCCCAGAAGCTGCCGTGTTTGTTCAGAGCACAGACGGACCAAAGGGGCCGCCCGGGTTCAAAGGTCACGCTGACAGAGGCCTGTCTGAAAGGCAGGGTTGGCCTCCGCAGTTTATGATAATAGTGAGATGAGGAAGGTGGATCTTCATTGGAGCTCTGTTTTAAAAACCTCAGTAGGACACTCCAAACCGTATCACACACTCTTGACAATTATATAACCTGACATCTGCTATGCACTGTCCACATGCTCACTTCAGCACAAACACTGCATCCACATCCACCCTACCTTCTTATTATATTGTGTTGATGCTCTCTGAACGATACACAATGGGTCATTAGCATGCCAGCCACCAGCCCCGGAGCAAGCCCAATTGTGAGGGGCTCCGCTAGGAAATACCCACCCACCGTGTTTCACTGTACCTGTTTTAAGTGTCTATTCTATTGAATCTACTAGCTTCTATGGAAGTCATGAGTTGTTCGTTTCACCAGCCATCCGTGCTCTGTCTGTGTCTCTGATGTGACTCATGTCTGCTGTTGCTGTACTTGTCTTCCCAGTCTCAAGTGGCCAATCTTTCCAAATCCCGTCTCGTTAACTCAACGAGTCCGAGCCTAGTATCTTGCTGGTGACAAACCCAATGGCCGTGTCCGAAATATGGCTTGCCTAGTACTTATTTAAACTGCATACTTTGTAATAATGTTACTGTAGTGAACAAAAATATAAATGCAACAATTTCAAAGATTTTACTGAGTTAGTTCATCTAAGAAAATCAGTAAGTCAAAATAAATTCATTAGGCCCTAATCTATGGTTTTCACATGAATGGGAATACAGATATGCATCTGTTGGTCACCGATACCTTAAAAAAAAGGTTCTGTTCACATCGTTGACATCAGCAAACCTCTCGCCCACACGACACCACACACGTGGTCTGCAGTTGTGAGGCCGGTTGGATGTACTGCCAAATTTTCTAAAACGACTTTGGAGGCGGCGTATGGTAGAGAAATGAACATTCAATTCTCTGGCAACAGCTCTGGTGGACATTACTGCAGTCTGCATTCCAATTGTATCTGCACATTTGAGGCCTTTTATTGTCCCCAGCACAACGTGCACATGTGTAATGATCATGCTGTTTAATCAGCTTCTTGATATGCTACACCTGTCAGGTGGATGCATTATCTTGGCAAAGGAGAAACGCTCACTAACAGGGATGTAAACAAATTTGTGCTCATCTTTTAAGATACGTTTTTTTGTGCGTATGGACAATTTCTGGGATGTTTTATTTCAGCTCATGAAACATGGGACCAACACTTTACATGTTGCCTTTTATATTTTTGTTCAGTGTAAATACTATTTAGTATAGTATGTATTATGTAAATATTTAGAACTTACTGTTTAGTAAAAAGGTATGCCGTAAGCAACAAATATCAACATAACTACTCATCCATACTGAGAAGGCATCTTCTAATGCGCAATCGCGCTTGTTCCCCGCCATTTGTTCATTTTTAGAGTCCCCTATTCTGATTATCAGCTGTTGTCAAACACAGGTGGGTGTGAAGACTATTCTCTTCCTCAAGTGTGCAGCGAATTCTACTAGATGAAATGCTGAAATGAGTATGACATCCTGGCATTTAAAGCATACATTTTCCCCCCGAAATGTCACATACTATCTATTTTCGTATACCCCAAAAGCCTACTATTCAGAACGCAAGTATGGGTATTCGGAAATGGACAATTTCCCCTTGCAGGATTAATAGAGTGAATTCAGTTGTGTCGTTTTCTGTCTCCTGTAATTCCCAGTTTATCATCTTGGTGGTGGACAGCACAGACAGAGAGAGGCTGGTGATCTCTAAAGAGGAGCTCTACAGGATGTTGGCTCACGAGGTTTGTATATTAACCCCCCAGTACTCTGGCCTTCATTCACATGCATGCTGGCACAGAAAACTGGGGGAAACCACACAGAACTAGTCTTATCTCCGTAATTGATTTTTTTGCTTGCCTTAAAAAAACAAGGAGCTGTCTCACAAGTCCACATGAATGATTCCTAGTTCCCTCCCTGTCACATTGTTCAGTGGAAGTTTCCGTTGTGCTTGGTTGCATCTCAAATGGTGACCTTTTCCCTATATAGTGCCTTAGGGCTCTAGTCAAAATGAATGCATTATAAAGGGAATAGAGTGCCATTTGGGACGCATGTGTTGTAGTGGAGGTTACATTGTTCTCTGCCCCTTTTTTCTTCCCAGGACCTGAGAAAGGCAGCTCTGTTGATATTTGCCAACAAGCAGGATATGAAGGACTGCATGTCGGCGGCGGAGATCTCCAAATATCTCACCCTCAGCTCCATCAAAGACCACCCCTGGCACATTCAGTCGTGCTGCGCGCTCACAGGAGAAGGGTGAGAGACGGGCGTCATGCGGACACACACACATTTTACATTTTAGTAATTTAGCAGACGCTCTTATCCAGAGCGACTTACAGTTAGTGAGTGCATAATAGTTAAATTTTTTATTTTTTTTTTATATATACTAATGATTTTGTTTTTGCATGACTTTATTCAATAAGTACAGCCAAATATTTATATTTACACACAAGGAATGTACACATGGCAGAGACATTTTGGTCAGGTAATTCATTGTCTGTCCATGAGGACAGGGTCCAGGCCACGGTCCCATATCTTTCATTGGTTATCCAAAACTGCCCCTCTGGACCCAATATAGAAGAATATGTACCTTTAACCAAAGGCAGACAAGGCCCACTGTTTGACATCTGTGGGGCATTGTGGGTATTTCTGCAGGGCCTCCATGATCTGGCTGTGGTCCAACATGAGTTTCATCAGCTGGTACTCCTGGATCTTAGCTGTGGAGCCGTCCATAGACTTAATCAGCTCCAACTGCTGCAGGTGCTCAAACGCCTTTATGATGACTGGCTTGTCAAAGTTATGGATAGAATGGGATTTCCTCTGGACGAATTTCTTGAACTCATTGTGAACCATCTGGAAGTTAAACGGCTCTCCGTCATAGATGCCATTCAAGTGTTTCATGGCAATTATCAGGCACAGTTCAAGAATGGACAGACCATGAAGTATGTTTGCTTTAGAGTCCACCATACAGACTCTGCTGGCCTCCAAGAGATCAGTGGGCTTGATGGCAGGTTTAGATGCGCTCACACAGCTCAGAGCCAGCAACAAGTGCAAGGAGCGGAAGTCTTTGCTGGAGTTATAATGTCTTTGTAAGACATCCACCACTGGTTGGTCTTCACATAGCGTCTTGATGCCGTCGTTCCACTCCTCACAGAACTTGGTGTCGGGGAAGTCTTGTGGCAGGCTGAGCTGTGAGCGGACGTTGTCCAGGTACTGTCTGAAGCTCAGGGAACACAGCCCTCTTCTCTAGCAGCTCCAGGACATCCAGTCTGCAGGTGAGGCCGATCACAGCGACGGGAGCCTGGGCAGACTGGGAGACGTCCAGGAGGTTGTAGAGCAGAGTCTGGGTCTTATGGTGGGCAAACAGGTCAAACTCATCCAGAATGAAGAGGACAGGCCGACTGCTGCTACGATCACCTTTCTTCAACGCCTCAAGAAGGAAGGCCAGGTTTTCTGCAAAACTACCAAACACTTTGTCTCCAACAACATTTTCCAGATTGAGCTGCCGTGTGATTTCTTTGAGCGCTATTCTATCATCAGTCTGTAAAATACCATTCAGGTGGACCAGTAACACATTCTTATTGACATCCTTCACCTCCAGCAACTCTCTCAAGACACAGTTCAGGAGTATTGTTTTCCCAGATCCCCGGGGTCCAACGATGAGTACGGAGTTACTCTCTCTGTGGACAGCTGTCCTCCTCAGCAGCTCCAGCAGGTGTTTGTGTTGTGATTCCATTCCCACTGGCTTTTCAGGAAGTCTCTGATGACAGAATCTCTCCCTCAATATCACCTGAACCTGAGAAATACATTCGCCGACTGTCATGTGTGTTTCTTTCACCTTTCGTTTGCTCATGGTGACAACAGTCTTTTCTCTCGATGACAGTGGTCTAAGCGCGAAATTGGAATCTTTGCGAAGACATTTCTCATTCAAGATATTTCTCATTCAAGATTCACAACTTCAACCAACTTCTGGGTTACCTAATTATTGGACCTAGGAGGCTATCTTTCTGCACAAAACAATCTACACACAATTAAATTAATGATTCCAGTATGTAAAATTCCATGTATCTAATTAATATAAATATACTTAATCAAGGGGGGGGGGGGGGGGGGGTCTCTTTCAACAGAGGCCTGAGACACAACAATGACCTTAACACTGTCCCATTTTCTTTCTATAGCCTATGTGATAAGCCTCTTTTAACATGACTTCTTCTGAAACTTCAAAAGGGAGGCCGGTTGACTTCTCACTCATCTATGAAACATCCAAAGCATTTTTTTTTGGTGGTGAAAATAAAATTGTTCTGCAACTTAGACAGTTTGCTTTTTTCTTTTCAGCTTGTGCCAGGGCCTGGAGTGGATGACCTCGAGGGCGGGACTAAGATAGCCCCTTCCCCTCATTGGACGTTTGACTGACTATCTTTTCGCATTCCAGCCTCTCCCTATTAGCTGCTTAAAAAAAAACACAAAAAAAACATACCTTTAACCTCAAGGCTGCACGGGAAGCAAGTGTTGCTTCTCTCCCCACTACATCAACTTGACCTTACCTGGGTCATGTTCATTCGGCACCAAACGGAAAGAAAACAAACCGAAAGAGGAAGGGACTACCTGAACTTGTCCAATTAGAAACGCTCTTTTCCATTGTCCATTGCAAAATGTTTTGCTACGGTGTGCTGTAATGAATACCACACTAATATAAGGGAGCTACCCTTGTTAACTAGACCGTCTTACTAAACCACATGGACTCTTTGCTACCTGGATGTGGTCAAGCTGATGGTAAACCGCAGTAGAACCACAGCCAGAAGGAGAACACTTCTCCTCTAAGACTGGAATACTAACAGTGTCCACTGGAAGTGATGGACACACCATCACCACTACATATCATGATCATATATCATAATGCCATATTAGGACCTGGATTGACATTTGGGTCTCTTGAATGTTGTGTGGGGCAGTGTTGCATCAATCATGTATTCATTTGTCTGTCTATTTTGATGCCTACTATACGGAGGCCTACACCAAACAGTGTCTACCTACTTGCTTTCTTATGTTAGTCAGGTTAGCCTGTTTATTCAGGTTAACTTATTTAGGTTGGTGGAAAGGAATGGGTTTATCATGGTGAATAGGCACAGGGTAGGATCAGTAACACAATGGTATTCTATGTTGGTTATAGTATTGGAAGTCTGTTACAATACATGTATTTTGGTTTAGGCCTATGTGTGCAGGATGGCATATTCAAGATGTTTTCGCTACTTCTTTATGATTTTTTATTTATTTCATGGTGAGTAGTCATCAGGGCTTACTACACATGGTCTCTGTCTTTCATAAGATGTAAAGGTGGTGGTTGTTCTGAACTCACAACAGGACTAGTTGGTACTGTAACCGTGGTTGGAGAAGTGAGTCTGGGGATGTGTCCCAAATGGCACCCTATTCCCTATAGTGCACTACTTTTAACCAGGGCCCAGAGGGTTCTGGTCAAAAGTAGTGCACTATATAGAGAATAGGGTGCCATTTGGGATGCACCCTGGGTACAAGCCTCGTGATGCTTGTTCCTTTGTGACTGTGGGAGCCACTGTATTATTGGGATGGGTTCAAGAAAAAGACCCATGGACATGAATAGTCATATTGAATTTGACTTCTCAAGCAAATGTCCCTGGATCTGTTTTCCTAAGCACTCATTCACACCGGAAACAAACTGAGTGCTAACTAGTGCTGAGCGATCAACCAAAATGTCGGTTATTTTTAGGTTTTTAAATAACTAATTGACCGACGTAGGTTCAATTATTTGAATTCCATTTCATTCTGGGGTTTTCTGTGAGCTCAATGCACACATTGCACAGTTTCTCTACAGATTAATCAGATCAAGCCCGAACTGTGCGATGTAGTAGGGAGTTGTAGTTTCCAACAGGCCAATATTTGACACAGCGCAGAAAACTCGGTAATTAATTACAATGACCATAATCCATTGCGTGCCTACTTGTCCGGTCTGTGTTTCTTTTACTCCTGCTATGTTAGGTTAGTGTGGGGCAGACACTAAGAGGAGACAGAGAAATGCGCGATTGAGAGGGATAGAGACCAGTTGCTTCGTGAGGTATCTCTACCTGAAAATACATTATCTAAGTGAATGATAGTTGGTATTCAGCAGTCATAGTATGCCTTATTTACGTTGAAGAACTAAAATAGTGATTGTCAGACAGCATAGGCAGCAGCTCTACCGAGATGACTTGGAATGAAATAAAGTCATCAAATAAAACAAATGTAATATACACAACTGAAATATTTTATTAAAGTAATGTGAATAAATGGTTAAGTGATAAGCAGTAATAGGCAGTCACTACCATAATGGGACTTTTAATAATTGTTTTATGTGTTACAGCATTCAACCCACATAATGCATAGTGCATTTGATGTTTACATTTTATCAATCAAAAGTGATTATTTTTTTAAATCATCAAACCGAAACTGTACTGACCTCAAATGCACTAATCGCTCAGCAGTAGTGCCAACCAACCACTACCGTGGTAATATCAGTGTTTAAAGCTCAACAGTTTCATAACAGTATTGTACACGCTACACATGTCAATGCAGCATTTTGATTAGATTTGTTATTTAGCATTTTGTGTACATGTATATACATGTAAATGTAATCAAGTATATGATGAGATGATGAGCAGGTCAGTAATTGCAGCTACATTTATTAGTGTATCACCTTGTTCTGACAGAAATGACTCCTTAGAGTTAAAGTAGCCTGAGTGTCAGTCTGTTTGTGCGATCATGCCACCTCCTGTTTGCCTTGACAAGGACAACAAGGGAGTTTGCAAAAGCACAAACAGATCTGGGACCAAGCAAGAGTTAGATATATGGTGCTCTTTGTGCATTTTTGACTGCGGTGTGCCGGTGAACACACCATCCAGCCCCCTCATCAACTTATGTTGCGTACCCTCAAAACTGCTAGCCTGATCCCAGATCCTTTAGTTAGAGAAGTTGGCTGAAGCATACAGGTCTGGGACCAGGCTACCGACAGGCCTCAAAAGGAGTCAGGTCCAGGGCTTCTCCCGTGTCATATGTGCCACAACATGTCAGACAGACTGGAGTGCGAATGAATCGGATGTTGATGCTCTCTTTCTGTCTGAAATGCCTGTGTGTCTGAAGATCTGTCTGTCTGCTTGCCCTGACAGTATTTATTTGTATCCCTTATTCCCTTTGTATCAAGCTTCTCAGAGTCTAGGATCAGCCCCACCCCCCACATAATCTTACTCATTGTGGATTGAAACACTAAATTGATCCTAAATCGGCACTCCTACTCTGAGAAGCTTGATACATATGGCCCCCGACCACCAGGATTTGTTACTACATTGGCCTGATGGAAGAGTTCCTTTAACTTGCTAACAGATCTATGCAGTTCCATAATGGCCAAAATCATGGTGAAAAGAAGCATGTGCATGAGTGTGTGTGGTGAAGTCAAGGAAACATCTTCAGTCTTTTCATTGGGACTAGATTCAGAGTAGCTCAGGCCCGGTTTCCCAAAAGTATCTTAAGGCTACGTTCATCGTTAGAACTTTTGTAGGAGCATCGTTAAATCTCCGAGCTGTTTCCCAAAACCGTTGTTACTAAAGTATTTGTAGCCATAGATAATAAATCATATCTCTTTAGGAGCTGATCCGTCGTCAGTATTCTAATGTTAAGATTGGAAAGGGAGAACGCTGATCCGAGAGCAGTGCTGCCTTCCTTTCAATCCTATCAGTATCGACACAGGCCTCAACAACGCACGAATCGAACGTACTCTGCGTGGTGTTTTGTGAAACGCATGTTATATCTTCGACCGTTTGTAGGAAAGATCGTTAAAACACTCATAAGCCTAAATTGTATCGGGAAAACAGGCCCTGGTACATCGCGCAACGAGTTACAAAGAGCAGTGGTGTCCACCCTGATCCGGGAGAGTGTCTGAGTCCACTGGTTTTAATTGACACCCAGTTAGCATTATGTGAAACAGGTGGACCCAGGAAGCGTCCCAAATGGCTCCATATTCCCTATATAGTGTACTACTACCAGTAGAGTGCCATTTGGAATTGGGACACATACCCAGTCTCTTCAGAATCATAGTGGCATTCCATTGGTATCGAGTACTTTTTATACTCTGTCAGACGTTGGAATGGTCAGACACTTTTAAATCAGGATGATAACGGCATGTATGATCTGGGTCGCACATTTCAGATTTATTTTTTAATAAAATATATTTTGAAACGTGAATCTGGTTTGTTCACTGACTAGGTCTAGGAGACTGAGATTTGCTTTTCGCTTTTTCAGGTATCCCCAGCTGGCCGCCAGCTGTCTCATTCTGTGTGTACCCTCTCATGGGTGAAGACCACATGAACGTATGTGGACAACATCTGCAGAGACCCTTATCTTAGAACAGAGAACCTAGCAGCTGTCATGAACAAACAAGGCTGTGTTTACACAGGCAGCCCAATTCTGATATTTTTTGCTTGTTTCCAATTTATGTAGTCCATTAATTACAACTTGTCTTTAAAAGGAAAGTTGTCTTTAAAAAGTGCAAGTTGTCAGATGACTCATGTACTCATGTACACAGCCACAAAGTCATAATTATGGCTAAATTGACAAAAAAATTAAAATGTGTATGCACTCACGTGAGTAAGTCGCTCTGGATAAGAGCGTCTGCTAAATGACTAAAATGTAAAATGTAAAGTCCTCCCATTTCCCCAAAAAATATTCTTAACATTTTTATTTTAAACCTAACCTTCTTCAGAACTAACCTGCTCCGGGGCAGAGCAGGCTAACTCACGGCTAATTCCACTTACCCTGAATGAAATGACTGAGCCATGCGGCATCATCCCC